AGGCATTGTGTGAGCCCACAGTTCATTACCACACTCTCACAGTGACTTTTGGGAGCATGGGTGGAAACAGAGAAAAGGAGGGAGTAGCTAAACACTAGCAGATAAACACCGGTAAACACAACAGAGTTGGCAAAGCAGTTACACATTAGCGAAAGGGCTACCCACAAATACCTTGTAGCCGTTTTACAAGTCCAGTCTGTTTTTCAAGATCACATGGGTGTGCCCTGCTGTGTTTAATGATGGAAGCCAACAGCCTGTGTCTGAATCTGAGGTTTCTTTGAACAGAGCTGCAGTCTCATTACTTTGGCAGAAACAAAGTCAACTTTGAATTACACTCATTTTTATCCTTTATATGCAAGAAAAGTATACCACCGCCAATTTTGAGCTTTTCCCCTGATGACATAAAAGATTAAAAAGGGGGCTCCAAGCTTTCAGGGCTTTCATAAACACTATCTGTGTGCTACTAGAGGCAGAAATACTTGCATAATTCTCTACTGTCTATAATGTGATTTCCCTCTTGTAGTAAGTACAGGAATAAAGATAATCTATGTAATGAAAGCACTCTTTTTGTCATGGAAACAAGTGGAAGCAAAAGGAAATCATAGGCTTTGAGACTGCTCTATCCCAAGGTGTCAGAGCCCATTTAGCACGGCCAGTGTCCACCTTCGTTAGGTTTTATCATCACACAGCCTTTCACTGTGGTAGGCATAATCCAATTTTCTCGGCTGCTCATTAGCTTCTGGAAAGGCAGAACAGATTTTGAGTAAGGCTCTTGATCCTTTCCTCTGGGTAATATGTTATCTGTTCATCTTGCAAAACTGCCCAGTGTCGTACAGTTCCTACTCTGGTATCCTTTGGGCGATTTATTATATCAGTATCTCTGAGTTTGTTTTTATCATGGCTGGTAAGCTCATAATTGAATTAAAAAAAAAGGCAAGTAGATTATGAAAGCTAGACCAGGAAGATCAGAACGCAGGGATGGATGAGCAGTACAGGGGCTTAATATAGCCATGATGTATCTGTTGTGATGCCCCACTGCGGTCCCAACAATAACAGCTTCCAGGCTGCTGTAATGATGCTGAGCTCATGATCGGGCATCTCACAATAACACAGTCATGCAGTAGATCAGCAGATGGCTTAAGAATAGCGCTTCCTAGAGCCTTTATCCAGTAGCTGATGGAAGCAGAAGTAGAGATTCACAGCTAAGCACTGAGCCAAACACCTGAAATCCAGTTGCAGAGAGGGAGGAATAACGAACAAAGGGGCCAAGACCACACTGGGAAAAACCACAGAAACAGCTGATCTAAGCACATGGGAACTCATGGACCCCAGTCTGACAGCTGGGGAATCAACATAGGACCAAAACAGGCCCCCTGAAAGTGGGTGTCAGCAAGGAGGACTGGGCAGTCTATGGGGCCTCTGGCAGTGGAACCAGGTTGTATCCCTAGTGCAGGAATGGACTTCTTCAGGAGCCCATTCCCCATGGAGGGATACTCCCTTAGCCTAGAGACAGGGGGGGAGGGCCAAATGACTTGACAGATTTTGATGATCCCTTATGGAAGGCATCATCCTCCCTGGGGAGTGGATGGGTAATGAGACGGGGGGGGGGGGGGAGCATAATGGGGGGGATGGGAGAGAAGGAGGGAGAGGGAACTGGGATTGATATGCAAAATAAGAAAAAATATTAAATAATAATAGAAAGAATAGCACTCCCAACATGTAGACCCCAAAACAAGTGCTCCAGCACCCACCAGTGTGTGTTAGAATGTACAGAGTTAGGCTTGCTCTTCCGGAGCTGAATCACAAACCTCCCACAGTTGAGGGGAGGCTAGCGCTGCTGCCTTATAATGGAGTGTGAAAAAAAATTTTGAGCAACTCCCTCTGCCACTAAGACTCTAAGAGGGAGGCTGCATCTAAGTGAATGAAGGGAAGAGGCTTGCTGAAGAAGCAGCTTGCCCATTCCAGTTTGCCCAAGTTCTGACTGCTCTAAGTAAAGCATGCTGTAAAAACACATGCAGTCTGGCAGTGGGATGTTTGCATTACAATTGCCAAAGTCAAACTGCTTCTAAGGTAACTTATCCTGTCAGGCTCTGGGTGCTCTGAAAACAATATTGGCAACCTCCTAGAAGAGCCAGGCAGCTAAAACAACATCTAAAATACCAGGTAGGCATAAGGGCACATACATTCCCAGCACTTGGGACAATGAGGCAGGGAGATCTTGGATTCAAGACCAGCTTGAATTACTTGAGAAGTCCTGTCCTGAAATCAAAGCAGAAACAGTAATAAAGATAGACAGTAGCAAGTCTTGACAGAAAAGTAAGAACATGAGGAATGTTGCTGGAAACGCACATTGCTGGAGCATAAAAATGATACAACCCTGGAAGACATTTTGGCAGTTCTTCAAAAAGCTGCACATAGGAGTTACCATGTCTCCCAGAAATGCAGTCATAGTATATACCAAGAAGCATTGAAAACATATATTCACACAAAGTTGCTACACAAATATTCATGGCAGCATTGTTTGCAAATACCCCAAAAGTGAAACATAAATAATCAACTAAAGAATAGATAAATAAGCTATTGTATATTCATACAATGGAATATTATTCAACAATAATGAAGAACAAAGTATTAGTATCAAATAAAATGAGCCAGGTACAGTGTGTGGATTGAATTTGCACCCAGTTTAAAAAAAAAAAAAAAACAACTGAGAAAAAGCAATTTCTGAAACAAGTAAAAAGCTATGAACACCATGTAAATATCAGATAAATTAAAAGAATTAAAATGTGTAGTGAGATCATAGTATTCATGTTTGTAAGATTTATTAATTTTTAATCATGTGTGTATATATGCTTGTCTACATGTATGTGTGTCATGTGCATGCCTGATACACTTGGAGGCCAGATGAGGGCATTGAATTCTCAGAAATGGAGTTACAGACAGTTGTGAACCACCATATGGATGCTGGGAACCAAACGGGGCTCAAATGCTCTTAACTGCTTAGCCGTCTCTCTTGCCCCTGTTTATGGATTTCGTTAAGGATGCTCTATCTATTAGAGATATTCATTAAGCGATTTGATGATTATGTGCTTTGTGTGTGTGTTTCGGAATGCAATAAAGCAGTGTGTGAAAATAGAAAGTATGAATAACAGTTGTTAATAGTTATCAAGGCTGAATGATCCATAACTATTTATTATAATTTTCTTGTTACTTTGGCATAGGACTGAAACATTTTCAGAGCCTTTGAAGGACTTTGACATGGAGAGTGACAGTTGAAATTGACATCGTCCTAAGGGATAGAGCCAAGATCAAAAGAGTATTGGAGGGTTCAAATCAACAGAAAAGAAGCAGCTGTCAAGAGGGCACGGAGGGCCGGCCAGTGGTGGCACACGCCTTTAATCCCAGCACTCGGGAGACAGGGGCAGGCAGATCTTTGTGAGTTTGAAGCCAGCCTGGTCGACAAGAGCTAGTTCCAGTACAGGTTCCAAAGCCACAGAGAAACCCTGTCTCAGAAAAAGGGGGGGGGCATGGAGGGCTAAGCTTAGCATTGACAGGGAGGGAGGCCTGGCTTGGATAAGAACAGTGTGAGGGAGATAGTAGTGGCAGATGTAGGGACCAAGCAAGACCCTCAGGTTTCAGGCTTAGATGAATAGCTGTGTGATGGAACCATTCATTGAAGAAAATACAGTCAGAAGTAAAGGGAATAGGATATTTCATGTAGCTACACTGAGTTTAAGAGGCCTGGGGAAGTCCCAGAGTTTAACAAAGAGGTCTGCACTAGAGGTACAGTTTGAGCAATTATCAACTGCAGCACAATTTCCATGGAAACACGCTGTAGGCACAGGAAATGCTCCTTCAGGGTACAAGCACTTCTTATCAAATTAATAAATTACTCTCCCCCTGTGCTAACATTAAAATATGAAGTAGTGGCTTGATCAGGGAGAATTCAGAGAACTAAGGGCTGATTACAACACACAGACTGGCCTGATACCCCTCGGCCTGCATCTGTAATGTGTGGTAGGTCTTCAAGGTTCAACGCCAGACTTGCTTCCTTTACTTTTTGTTTTTTCAGTGTGTGTGTATATGTGTGTACATGTGTGTCTGAAGGCCTGGAAGTTGTGGATGAGAGCCATCCTCAATAGCTCACCCACCTGAGATCCTCTAGCCACTGAACAACCTACCGGGCCATTTGACTGGCCCCTTAATAAAGAAACTTTCAAGAGAATATAAAGGCAATAGACACATACATAAAGATGTCATGTAGAAGATGAAGCTTCAGTTTTTCTTCCACTCTTCCATATTTCCTTTATTATCTTCTGTATTTCATGTGGTACTATAAAGTTTTCAGGAAAACACCAAAATCCAGAAGCCCCGAAGCAGACTTAGCTTCCCGTCTTCATCCAGGATGGAGACTTGCTCTGTCCACGAGCTGCTGGGGTAGAAGGGCTCCTGGAGCAGGAGGACTCAGCCCCTCCAGGACTTGCTGCAGTTGGAGAGGGAACAACAGACCGACACTTAGGCTGTTTGTTAGTTGGTTTGTTTGTTTTTAAGGAATTGAAACAGAATGACTTACCATACCCAAAGTTTGTCAGCAGTCGGGGGCTCTGCAGACTGTGAGGTAGTTTGAGGAAAGTTAGTGATTTTGATATTATTTGCATTTATAGTCAAATAAGAAAAGAACACATTGACATCTTTGTTTTTCTCTCCTGAAGTTATTTATTCTTGAAGCCTTATGTTGACTGCTCAGCCCCAACCCCCAAGCTTGCTATTTGAAGGCTCCATGATTTGGCCTCATCCAAGAATAATTGAGTCAGACTTTTAAACCAGTTGTATCCAGGCACCAATGATTATAAATTTCCTGGAGTGACTTCAACATGTGGTCAAGGTTGAGACCCACTCCGGATACCACATGAATAACAAAGGACAATGGGGACATTTGGGTTACCTGTCATGAGAAGAAAGGTCAGGAGTGACTGAGCTTGCGTTCCCCTGCCTCACAGGTGACGGCTGTGCGGGTCCATGTGAACAGCTCCTCTGAGAACGTGGACTACCCAGTCCTCGTTGTGGTCCGGCAGCAGAAAGAAGTGCTGTCCTGGCAGGTTCCACTGCTCTTCCAAGGACTGTAAGTGTTCTCTGCCCAAAAACTGCACTGCATCTGACATTCTTCAATGTCCTTAGACTTAGATGGGTTTTGTCACCATCACTATTATTGTCATCATCATCATTACTTGTTTTGTTTTGTCTTAGCCAGAATCTCAGACATGGGAATTCCAGGGTAGTGCACACCAAGTGCAGAGAATTTACACCCCAGGCTGCTGGGTGCTGTGCATTTCCATTCCCTTTGTATTTCAGATAAGCATTCTGTCTAGATTTTCAACACCTGGGAGAACTTACAGCCGCTTAAAATCTACCAAAGTATTCTATTTCCCCCCTGTTTTGCAAAATAGAGCATCCCATAGCCATTCTATGGGTTGGACCCGGCAGGCAACACATCAGCAGCAGCACCAACCCGTTCTTCACAATGCTCCTTCTATGTGCATTCTTTGCTCAGTAGTGCTTACAGTACAGTGCTAAGGGGGAGGTTTGGAAAGACGCTGTGACAAACAGCAGGGTCCCTGTCCTGGCAGGGTTTTGTTGGGGAGAGCTTAGTAAGGCACCAATACCAAGCCCAGAAGGCATAGAGAAATGGGCACCTACTGATGTGTTATTACGTGGTTTTTAAAGGCTCAGGAGTTTGAGGGTTAAATACTAATCCTGATAGTTTTAACTTGAAATCAGTGAAATTGAAGGGGGGAAAAAAGACTCCCCTGCTGGTTTAATAAAAAGAATTCTGCCCTAAAGTATTGGCAGTTTTCCTTGAATAATAGGGAGTCTGGCTTAATGCATTGTTGGCAATGCTAAGTAAACGGATCAGGACATAACACTCCCTATGTCCCTGTCATCCAAGGGATACCAACAACAGCAGTAGATCCATCCTGAAATTCGACTTGAAGTCAGATTAGAATAGAGTGGGGTAGTATTCTCCCTTGGCCCTGTTCACTGTGTCTCCTCCTTCTTGCTGATGTTGTCCATGGCCACCTCGGCAGATACCAGCGGAGCTACAACTACCAGGAAGTCAGCCGCACTCTTTGTCCATCAAAAGCAACCAACGAGACCGGCCCTCTGCAGCAACTGATCTTTGTAGACGTAGCATCCATGGCTCCCCACGGTGCCCACTACAAGTTGCTGGTCACCAAAATCAAACACTTCCAGCTCCAGTAAGTAGGTGCACGTGGCTCTTTGCTTTCTGCTCTGTTTTGCCTGTGGATACTCAGCTCGGTGACCATCTTTACAGGTGAGCTGAGCATGGCTTCAACAGAGAGCTGAGCCTTCAGGGAAGCTGGGTTTTTGCCAGTGGTGCCTTTGATCTGTTACTGTCACCTGGCGGTGACCTATATGAATTGCAGGGCTGGTATCAGTGAGGTAATTCGACCCTTAGGAAAGGAACATTGTGAAACTGAAGTCATTGGGTCACAGCTCTTTGCAAGTGTTAATGAATGACTTGCAAACCTATTCTGCCAAGTTGTTTTCACCTTGTGTAATATGACTTTGTGTCATCAAACAGACCTTGCAAACCTAATGGAAAACAGAGTTATGAGAGCTTGTATGCAAATAAGATAAGCACGAGGAGAGGTGTGTGTTTTTCTTCCTTTACTGGTAAGCCAGATTTCCAGAGAATGGTAGTCATGGAGTCCAGATGAGGACTGTGGTAAGAACCAGGCTCCAACTATGGGGATCAACCCTGACATTGCAGCTTCTGCCATACAGTTCAGAATGACAGCCCAGAATGCATATAGAATATATTTTGCTGGTATCCAGAGGTTTTTGTTTTTCTTATTTGAGACTGGGGTTTATCTATGTTGCCAGGCTGGCCTTGGACTTTTAGGCTCAGCCATCCTCATACCTCTGCTTCCTAAGAAGCTGTGACAAGAGGTATGCATCCCCACACCCAACTCTGAGGTCTGGTATGCTGAGTTCATGTCCAAACTCACAAAGACAGAAAAGGCAAAGTCAAGTCTGGATTCTGCTCTTGGCTTCCTCTTCTAAGATCTTATCCTCGTAACACATTTCTGTCTCCCTAAATATGCTTCTCAATTGCACAAAGCATTTATTTATTCAAATTCAGGTTTTAAAATAAGACGATTCTGCCTTTAAGCATCCCTCCCACTCCTTACACACATGCAGGACATCTTCCCAGCAGATCCCAACAGCAATGGGCCATTCTGTGTCATTAGAGGTCATAGTTGTAGGGGGCTGGAGAGGGCACTGTAGGAACAGGCTGCCACTAGATCGTGGAGTAGGGGGAATATAGGGAGGCATTGAGAACACAGTTGCCTACATTGTGCTATTAGTTGTGTGAGGGATGGGTTAAGGAGACAGTATTGGCTACAGAGAAGTTAGAAGACTGGCATGATGGTCAAGCTAAAAAGTGAGTAGGTGTCTTGAAGAATGTAAGAGGTGACATTCACAACACTTGACTGAATATGAAGGAAAGGGGAAATGGGAAAGTGGAGAATGACGTCACACACTGTTAGAGGAAATGAAGATTGAACGGCTGTGACTGCATGGCCAATCTCAAGCAGGAACTACTTCACATAGAACCTGGTCATGGGGTTTCACAGTTGGTTGCCTCTCCCATTCCCCTTGGGTTAGAAAGCACTTGAAATGTACAAATCACTGGAACTTTGCTAGAATGAGATACTTTTTGACCTCCAGCTACATCTTTTGCTTTATGGGGAATGTCAGATGCCATGGTTACAACATTGCCAACAAGATGTATCCTCACCATGAACTCCCATATAGTTATTGGACTCTCAACACTGTGGTCCAATGGTCAAGTGTGGAGGCAGTTCCCTTGAAGTATAGCAAAGCTGTGGGCCAATCTATTCCTATGGGCTTTGCCTATGGTTAGTATATTAACAGAAGATACTCCATGGCAGCTGGAGAAGAAAACCTCAGGATGACTGCCAGCTGGCTTTTAGACATTACCAGTGATTGGAGTTTGGGCTGGCTGTTTCCAAGGAATTGAAATAAAAGCACACAGATTTCAGATTAGAATAACAACAACTATTCAAAAGCAAATAAGTAGTATAGATCAGAAATATGTCATCAGAAGCTGGCACGTGCCTTTAATCCCAGCACTCAGAAAGTAGAGACAGGTGGATCTCTTTGAGTTTGAGGCCAGCCTGGTCTACAGAGCAGTTCCAGGACAGGCTCCAGAGCAATACAGAGAAACCCAAACAAACAAACAAAACAAAAATATGTGGTCAGAAGTTACAGACCATGTGAGAGAGTACTCAAAGACCCTGATTATTATTGGGAGCTTCCTTTTATGGGGGTCAAGAGAAGGAGGAGTTTGGTGGGAAAGGGCATATCACAGGTGGCTCCATTTTGATTGACAGTCATAGATTATATAAGCCTTTGGTCATTGTGCATGTCCTTTCTCATGAAGCACCAGATCTCAACCACACCATCCTCAACTATTCATAGACCTAAGATGGTAAGCAGGGGATTCTCCCTAAATCTTTACACAGAAGACATGGTTTGCCTTATTGTGCAGGCACCCAAAAGTAATGCAGGCCTGATTGGACACCTCATATTCAGAGATATCTGGAGTAAGATTAAATAGAAACTGTCCATTCTTGATGATCAGTAAGGGGAGGAGAAACTTATTCTTATATTTGGAGGAGAGTGTGCACCCAGCTCAATGTAGGAAGGGGATCTTAAACCAAAAGGCTGCTGGGTGCATCGTTAGGAGAGGGATGAGTGCATAGCCCAAACCAAGCAGAGTCCCAGGCTGCTAATCTATTCCTTATAGCAGGGCCTCAAGATAACTGAGGAAAAACAGATGGGAAGCAATCTTCAGCAGAGATGTGGGGTTTGGTACCAGAGCACATTTCTCCGCAACCTCTCCTTAGCTCTCCATCACATGTCTGTGACTTTGAGTAGAATTATAGTGGCAGGAGGTACCATTATCCAGCCTGTGTTCCTCCTCTTCCTATTGTTCAGGCTGTGGCATTCTCTAAGCATTAGGGTGTCTTGACAAACTCCTGGTGGGAGGCCAAAGTAAAGAGTGGACAGCAGGGATCATCTATGACTAGAAAGCAAAAAGATGGCCTGCAGGCCATTAAGGAGTTGACCCAGATAAAACAAAGGAAAATTCTCTACTGGAATTCTAGAGAACACTGGAAGGGAACTGGGCAAAGTAAGAAAGATGAAGAGTCATGAGTCAGAGAAAAGACCAGAGGAACAGCTCCCGGAAGAGAGTGGACACTGGGCAGGGATGGGGGCATCTGCACGTGGCTCTGCGAAGGACTGGCACCTGCTGGCAGTGAAGCTGAGGGGTAGCCAGTAGGAACTGATCAAGGATGATGAGAGAGTCTGAGTAGGAAAGAATGAACCAGTGCCGGTGGTGAAAATGACTTTGAAACACCTTGTGGGACATAGTGATCTTATCTCTTTATTATTATTGTTGTTGTTACTATTATTATTATGATAATAATATTATTATCCTACATTTTATGTTATGGTGCTACATGCCTGTAATTCTAGCACTTGGGAAGTAAAGGCAGGAGGATCAGAAATTCAAGGTCGTCCTTAGTTATTCAGCAAGTTTGAGGCCAGCCCAGACTACATGAGACCCTGTGTCAAACAAATTCTCCAGATCCTATACTCCAGTATCTCAACACATGCCTCCGGTTCTCCCTACCCTGTCTGTCCTGTAGTCGTTACTTCTTATTGCCTGGCCTGGTCCCACTTACACTACCTTTATGTTTCTAGCGGGTTTTATTTTGTTTTTAGGCCTTAACCTGAACTGTTTCTTTGCAATTTCAGTGTCTCGTTGTAGTAGGGCGCTTACCTAGATGTGTGAAGCCCAGAGCTAGCCACTCAGCACTGTACAAACTGTGTAGAATCACATCATTTGGCAAGTGGAGGCAGGAGGTTCAGAAGTTCAAGGTTACTCAGCTACATAGAAAGTTTGAGGCCAGCCTGGACTACACTAGATTCCATTTCAAAACCACATACATACAAAAGAAATTTTAATACTTCTTCACGACAACAGTAACAAATTTCACCATCTCTAAGATCATTTCCTATTACATAGGGAGCATGGCTCTCTTCATTCCATCATGGCCATGTTGGAGAAACAGCTCAGCACCTGCCTTGGGGCTTCTATTGCTGTGAAAAGAACCATGACTGTGGAAACTCTTATAAAGGAAACATTCCATTGGGGTGGCTTGCTTACAGTTTCAGAGGTTTAGTCCATTATCACCATGACAGGGAACATGGAAGTGTGCAGGCAGATGTGGTGCTGGAGTAGCTGAGAGTCCTACATCTGCAGGCAATGGTCTGAGACACTGGGCAGTATCCTGAGCATAGGCCACCTTAAAGCCCATCCCCACAGTGGCAGCCTTCCTCCAACAAGGCCACACCCACTTCAATGAAACTCTTGTCTCCTAACAGTGCCACTCCTTGTGTGACTATTGGGGCCAATTACATTCAGACTACCACAGCACCTAAGAGTGCTTACTGCTCTTCCAGGGGGCCAGAGGGAGGTTCCCAGCCCCAACATGACGTCTTACAACCACCTGTAGCTTGGTTCCAGTGACTCTGATAAACTCTTCTGGCCTCAGGAGGCAACCACACATATGGCACACACAAACCCATACACACATAAATTAAAATTAAAATGAATCTTTTAAAAATTCCAACATGGAGGCAGAAGGGGAACCTAAGGCTAAGGAGCTATTGGGGGTTACAGTTGGAAAGGTCACTTTTCTTCAAGGAGTGGCCACTACCAGGTTAGTATACCCCAGTGGCTAACCACACAGCCATATGCCTGTAGGCATTACTGATTTCACTCGATGGGCTATTTTTTATAAAGAAGACTTAAAGCTGGAAGGGGGAACTATTGGGGAGGAGACAGGAATTGAAGAGAGCAAGGGGCACATGTTCAAAATACATTGCACACATCTACACAATTTTTAAAGAATAAAAGATTAAAAATAATGTAGATAGCAATAAACACACTCAAAACTGACTGACCTCTGGCCTCCTAATGTGCGAGTGCACATGTACACACACGCGCGCGCGCACACACACACACACAGAGAGAGAGAGAGTAAGTGAAGAACTTAGTTGAATTGGTCTGTCGTCTATTTTGAAATGATTAAGACAGGAGCCTATTTATAAGTGAGGGAGCAGGAAGGCAAAACAGACTCATAAGACTTGATATTTGTGGACACAGAGTCCCAGGGAAAGGAAGAAAGAGTGAGGTGTGGGTGCATGTGGACAGATTGCACACACAAGAAGGATGAAGCCTGGAGGGTGAGATGATAGCAGGAGGGCTGGAGCAAGGGCTGGCTGGGGTCAGCCTACGACAGATGGCAACCAGCAGACAACAGGGAGGGATATTATGAAGTCTATGGTGCTGAGTAATAATAACAACATCATTTCCTTCAACAAACAAAGTGGACTTGGAACACCGACTGTGCCCTGCCAAGAGCTCACTGTTATGAGATGTCCAGTCCTGTGACTGTCACTCAAAACTACTGTTTGTTTCTGCCTCTCCATCCTCTCTCTTCTTCCTTATATTTTATTACTCTCCTGTAAATATTTTTTTGCTCTCTCTCCATCCCTCTGAACGCCTTTCTGCCCCTTCTTTTCCCCATCTTCCTTATCTGTATCTCCTCTCTTGACTCTTGTGTATGTTTCTTTCCCCTTCCGGGCTTCCTTTAACAGCCAAAGCAGGGGAACAAAGTTGGGTTTTAGTCTCTTGCATAAGCATTTGTATCTGAAACAAACAAATTGAAACTTTGATGCTTCTTGCTGTAACAAACACTAAAGGTGCCGGTGACTTTCAGTTAATTTTGTGCTATGGACTGATGAAGAAAACCTTTGATAAATCACACCTTGTGTGGCTCAGTCAGGACTACACCAAAAGATACTGTTTCATACTGTTTGTTTCATAGCTCTTGTTTTGTTCCACAAAAGCCAGAAGGTTTAAAGGTTTAAATGTCACTGAGGGTTTGTTGTTGTTTGGGTTTTTTGTTTGGTTTGGTTTGGTTTTTCCAGACAGGGTTTCTCTGTGTAACAGCCCTAGCTGTCCTGCAACTCATTCTGTAGACCACGCTGCCCTTGAACTCACAGAGATCCTCCTGCCTCTGCCTCCCAAGTGCTGGGAATAAAGGCATGCGCCACTGTCGACCAGCAAATGTTCAACCAGCAAATTTCACTGTTTTAAAGACAATAAAACCCAAACAACCAAAACAAACAAACAAACAAATAAAACCTTAGAAAGTCTATGTTGATCCATTGTTACAATTGGAATTCAAATCATGAGAGACATTTTATAAAAATCGATTTCTGGCAGGGTGGTAGTGACAGCACACACTTTTAATCCCAGCACTCAGGAGGCAGAGGCAGGCTGATATCTGTGAGTTTGAAGCTAACCTGGTCTACAGAACAAATTTCAAGATAGTCAGGACTACACAGAGAAACACTGTTTCAAAAAACAAAATCAAATTTCTGATCAAAGTACAGATATTACTTCAGGAAATCACATTCTGTCTGTTGCTAACCTAGAAAGACATAACCTCCAAAAGTCATTTTTGTCATTCTTCTGACCTGACCATAAGAGGTTTGAAGGCCCCATGTTGCCCTAAAGCAAGTGACAGTTCCCATTGAAAGGGTACTGCCCAGGCCACACACACAGCTCTGCTAGCATTTACTCTAGCTGCCGGCAGGCTCTAGCGTAGATGTACCATTCATTTGATAGTGATGTTGGCATCTTTAGACGACTTGAGGTCAGGAGTTTACTACTGTGCTCCTATAGAACCACTCACCCACATGGGTAGCAATTTATGCCAAAAGTTAATATATAAAAATTGCACCCATTTCTGTGAGCTCAATTCAGAGACCAGACCAATGACAACCATTACCTTTATGAACAGTGCTCAAATTTTATGACTTCTGAGTAATATCTCATATTATATGCATCTCACCCAAGTGTCTTGACATGCTATTTCTAAAGAAATGCTTGAGGTTTTTAATTTTTTATAAAAGGAAAGTTGGGAGTGAAAAGAAACTTCAGAGAGTGCTAGAGAACGAAGATGGGGAAGGAATCCTGAAGTTCAGACTCGGCAATGCAAGAAGGGATGCACTTGGGAGAGTGGCCATTTCATCTGTTTTAAGAACTTGAGTGTGGTGGCCTTAATGAGTGATCTATGACACTACTGATGAGTCCAGGTGCACAGAGAGCAGCCCTTAGGAGAACACGGTCATCTTTGTGTTTTCCAGCCTCTTCAACTGCTTCACAGATATGCACCAGACAGCACTGGATGCTACAAAACCTTCCTCTTATGTAATTTTAGCACTTGCTCTCTCTCTGTGCCTGGATCCTTGCTGTCTTAGTATATTAGAAACTAATTCACAGTCCGTTTCTACTTAGAGATCAAGTTACTTCTCTGGGTTTGTTGGGTGATACTTTTATTTTAAAGACCCGTGTTAGAAGACAAAGCCTAAAGGCCAGAGGATGAAATTCTGGGAAATCAGGAAGTGTTGCAGGAGACTGGGGAGACATTTGGGACAAGAAAAGCATATTCCCACCCCTACCAATTGTCCTACAGTGGCCATCTGTTCACCCTGTTTTTAAAGCACTGTTCTTCTGCAGTGGGTGCATTAACGTTATTGTGAAAGTGTACCTACATTATTCAAAAGGACTCCAGCCTGTATTTCCTCTCTTGCTACCCACTTCTCATACTCAGAATCAGTCTATATATAAGAGAACTATATTGATTATGTGACTTGATTATAATATCTTAAGAGAGTCCAAAGGCAAAAGCAACCATAAAACTAAATGAGGTGTTTATACAGGTATGACCTCATGGGTGTTTAATGATGTAAAAGCAATCTTCTTCCCCAGCTTCATCATTCTTTATTGTTGAAAGTACAGAGTCTCCATGAAGTTTATCAAATTGCAGGACCAAATGCCCTTCAAAAGGGGCAAGGCACTGGACACCTACTTTAAGTGGCTCTCCTTTAAGTACCTAGTTCTTGCTTGTCGACTCATTATTTTCTCTCAATTTTCCCTCTTGCATTTCTCAGGACAAATGTTGCCTTCCACTTCTCTGCCAGCCCCTCTCAGCCTCAGGTAAGCAAAGATTTCCAACGGTTATCGAGAGCCTGCCTGCCGCTCTTGCACACAGAAGCCATAGAGAAGGAAGAGTGAAGCCAGCATGTGTTATTACCCTTGATCTTACTCTGTGTATCCGGGCTGTTACTGAGGTCTTAAGCACATTTAGTATCACCACCTTTATTGGGATAAAATGGGAAGCATGATATTTATTTCCAATGTTCCTTAGGATGAACTTCATTGAGTAAAGTCATGTGTCTGGTATGTCCTGAGGGATGTTAGATAGTACTGGGTGCTCTTGGAAGAGGAAGGAGATAAAGACTCTGTGATTGTAGCCCTGGTGACTGAGATAGGGCAGGAAGGAAGAGAGTGGAAGACTGACAGCAGACAGATATGCAAATGGCTGTTATGAAAATGCAAAAATAAGACAGATTTCCATTTCTGTCATAATATTGGCAGATTGAGTTTGTGTCCCCTGTCAGTAAAAATAATTTACTATTTTTATGTGATCCTCAAAAACAACAACAACAACAACAAGCAAAATAGATACATGAGACTGATTTTTTTAAAGATTGTTTTCCTGATGACATTTCTAACTAGCTTTTTTTTTTTCCTTTCATGGTTTTATGCTGTAACGAGTTCAAAATAGGTTTTGGACATATGTAGTGGTTTACCACTTCATCTTACCACGCTAAACACCAAAACCAAGACAAGAGAAATGAATTAGAGGCCAGTCTGAGCTACATAGCACATTCCAAGCTAGCCTCGGCTACATACTGAAACAGAAAAAACAAAACAAAACAAAAAAACTGACCTATATGTCACAATAGTTATACTATGTTTTTTGAAGGCTTTAATATGATTTTGTTCATAAATGTTTACTTAGCTTTCATTTTGAATATAGTAAAACTGGTGATTAGATAGTGTAGACATTTGTAACTCTATTAAAATCACTAGTGTGTTTGTAAATATTTAACAACTCGTGGGGGGAGGGCAAAATTTGATTTGTAGCTTATGCCCATTTCTTTGGTGTAAATTCCTCCACCATAGCCAATTTCAAATGGCTGCCACGATGATATTGATCATGTTGGGAATAGATGTATAAAGCAGTGCTCCCAAACATGTACTTCTGTTTTGTAGTGCTGGGGATTGAACTCTGGATCTTTTACAAGCTAAGCAAGTACTTTACCAGCTGAGCCACATCTCTGGCCTTCAGCAAAGCTAAGATTTAACTTTTCTTTCTGTGAAATTCATCCTGTATACTGATGCCCAATGGCAAGAAAGGCCACAGGGCATAGTTTGTTCATCTTCATAGTTATTGACCATTTAAATCAATGGGGTATTGAGGGGGGCTAGGTAGGAGGTCCAATAATTAAGAACACTTGCAGCTCTTGAAGAGGACCTGAGTTTGGTTCCTGATATCTACATGGTGACTTATACCTATATCTTAACTCTAATTCTAGGATATATAATTCTTTCTTCTGATCCCTGGGGCAATGTGTGCATGTGGTACATAGACATAGATGCAGACAAAACAGACACATAAAATACAAATAAAGTCTTTCTGAATAAAACATATTTTAAGGCAGGGGTCTAAAACATTCCTTGGGGAGTTAGAGATAAATAAGGCTGATAATAGTTTGACATATTAAGTATTCAAAACTATTGACTTCTTACATAAAAGGCTAGTAATATATATCCATTACTAACCATAATGCTCTTGAGTTATAAAGTGTGGCTGTCCTGACAGCCACCCTGGGACTTCCCTTGGAATAACCCTGTTTCATGAGTTTTTGATTCATGCTCCAAAATGCAGTCATACAAGGCATGAAAAGACTTCTAAACAGGAATGTGAGTGCTATTTCTTAATTCTGATGTTCTATTCATATTGAATTAGTTCTTGATACAGTACTAGTAAAGGGGATACTTGAATACAAAACTCGTTTTAAAATGATGTGTTTACTAGGTCTGTAAGATGTCAGTCTCATTAGGGTGGGTTTCCACACAGCCTTAATCACAAACTTGTGTTTCTCATATGGTTGCCACACTTGAAATGATTGAGCTAAATTCTCATTTCCACCATTTTTAACTGTTTAAAATGTTTTAAGAGTTAATATGTTTTTCCAATGGGTTCAAAACTGAGGTAAGTAGAGCATATCACCTCTTCCTGTTGGTAAAGTTGCCTGTGGGTTAGGAAAGGTGACTCAGAGGTCAAGGGTGCACATGGCAGCTACAAAGGACTAGAGTGTAGTCGCCAGCACCTACCTTGATCGACTCAAAAATAAAAATGATGTCACTTGCCTTCCTCTCATCTTAGTGAACACCCTCTTCTGGGCTGTGCAGTCACCACACATGTATTGCTCTCTCTCCTACACACACACACACACACACACACACACACACACACACACACACACACACCCCTACCTGATACTTGGAAAATAAATTTAGGCCAAATCACGGACATATTTCAAGGGCTCAATATCAAACTCAGTCTTTTGATCTAAATAGCTTCTCAGAATATCTCAGTTTAGGGAAAAGATTCTTCTAAGTTAGTTGATAAGAAATGGTTGTACCCTAAAATGAAAAGGCAGCCTTGTGTAAATGGCCAATTACCTTCACGGCTATCTTCTTCATGTCGGGCACAGAGCCCTGTGCAGAACAGTTTGTTGCTTAACATGTATGAGATGAATAGATGACTGAAACAATGGCCATAAACTGAGCTTTGCATCTGAAATTCACACTTGGTGGTAGAGAAAACCATGCAACCCATGGTTTGTATTTCTATAAACAGTTCTTAAGATTAGTAAATCACGTCTTTCTTTTTTTCATTCTCAGTATTTTCTATACAAATTTCCTGAAGATGTGGATTCTGTTATCATTAAAGTGGTGTCTGAGAAGGCTTACCCATGTTCAGTTGTCTCTGTTCAGAACATCATGGTAAGCTCTGATACTGTCAACCTTCTAGCTTGTAAGAGTCTAGTATTCCAGAATAGATGTGGGGGGGGGGGCTGTATCACCCCCAAATGCCAAATAATAACATCTCATGCACACACTCGAGTGGGCAGTCCATGTTCGCTGACATTGATGAGAGATAAGAAGTATCTCACCACCACAAATAAAAGATGGGGGATGCAGAATAGGTCATGACAAGTAACAAAGAAAACCCAGTTGGAAGTTCAGTGAAAAAGCCTATCACCTGTTTTGTTTTTAGATTGTTGTCATAATATTAGATCTTTTCTGTATCCTAAGATGGTAACAAAAAAAAAAAAATAAGAAATGTATATACTTTAAGGCAGTCTTCCTATAGCTCTCTTCTATATAGACTGATTCTTACAGTTTAGGTCAAAGTCCACATTTTAAGAGGACCATTTCATGACTGTTTTGCAGAAAACTTTTCCATGGTGTCTAGATTAAAAGATTCCCCCAGCCTGTGACCCAGGCAGCACAACCCTGACACACGTATGTATATGGAGTGACATCATGTGACAGTGCTGAGACGCTCTTTTTTTGTCTCTCGTGTGCTTTAGTGTCCAGTGTATGATCTGGACCACAACGTGGAGTTCAATGGTGTGTATCAGTCCATGACCAAGAAAGCTGCCATCACGCTACAGGTGAGACATTGCCTCTGAAGTCACAGTCATGATGTTCAACAGATAGCCACTCACCTACTGGACCTGCATTCAAAGGAGATGGCTGTCCACTGTGTACTTGGATGTCTTTTCTTTCTGATTGGTTTAAAAATGAATAGTGCCCTGCCTGTAGTTGGTGCCTGGATGGAGGTGGGCAGTGCTATCCTTTTAGGCATCCCCTTGGGGGTTCTTGGGAATCTACCATGCAGTAGGACATATATCTGGAAGTCCAGATGAGGTGTTAAGTTCTTCAGTGAGGTGTGGCAATTTAGGACAAAGCTTATGACAGCCATTTAAAGAAATTTAGTATGTTATAATAATTTTTCTACCAGTTGCATTCACCAAAAGTTGGATTCAACTCTGGAGGGAATGACAGATTCGAAGGCATATGAGCCTTATTCATGCGACACTTTGCCCATTTGGTATCTGTGAATAAACAGTTACATCATTGGTATTTTGTAGCAAAAAAAAAATGTACATATGTTATGTCACCATATTCCAAGGACATTCTACCTCTGTCTCTGGGTTTGGTGCTTAAGAAATTCGTGACTTGGTTCATGTAGAATCAGACAACATTGCTGGTTGATTAATAGACAAAAAAATGCAGAGAAGCTAAGTGTAGCTTGGATATCAGACCTAGAAATTATCAGTCAAACTTGATTTTGAGCATCACAGATTTAATTCCCCAAATATCTTGCTTTCCCTGTTTATTTCTTCCTTAGCATACCAGAATGATGTGATCCCCAATTTAAAAAGGACACACACACACACAACAACAACAACAACAACAATAACAACAGTAGGTGTTTTAATTTGCTTTCTAGTGCTGTATAAAACATCATAACCAAATCAAACTTGGGGAAGAAAGGGTAAATTTGATTTACACCTTCACATCATAGTTCATCATGGAGGAAAGCAAAGGCAGGAACTCCAGGCAAGAACCTGGGGGGCAGAAACTAAACCAGAGGCCATGGAAGGACATTACTTTTTTTTATATAACCCAGGATCGCCTGCCCAGGGCACCATCCACAGTGGGCTGGGCCCTCCCACATCAATCATTAATGAAGAAAATGCTCCACAGACTTGCCTACAGGTGATTAGGAAGGCATTTTCTCAATTGAGAATCCTTCTTCCCAGATGAGCCTAGTTTGTGTCAAGCTGACAAAAAAAAAAAAAAATTATACCAGGGCAATGAAGGGCAAAGCGTAGCCAAACCTACTATGTCTACTTTCTGTGTATCTGGCAGTAAATTGCCTCTTCTCTTTTGGGCATGTGCTTCAGTTTTAGACATTTTCTCAGTGAACTATACACAATATCAGAAATTTGAGCATGACAAAAACTGCCTGGGTTAAAGTACTGTAATTAATAGTTATTTTGTTAACCCCACTTGAACCAGGACTAAAGAGGGACAGGTTCAGAAGTCAAAGCCAGAGGCACGGCCCCTTTCCCAATGCCTTCATCTCTCCAACATGCATTATTTATTTAACTATTTATGGCATGATTTTAGACAAGTTATTTCTTATTAGATTTTAAATTAAAATGGATAAATAGCTGGGTGTATGCCTATAATGCCAGCACTCAAGATGCTGAGGTAGGAGGATCAAGAGTTCAAGACCAATGTGGGTTACATAGCAAGCCCATCTCCTACATATGTGTTCTTATATGTACATGTATTTATACAAATATTATTTGTTAAGTCTAGCTATTGCTTACGGTGTTTATTATAATACTAAGTCCTCAAGTGGGAACAGGCTTTGAAATTCTCCACGTACCTATTTATACTAATTTCTTGGATGAAGTGATGTTCATGGCTGTTGTGGAGTAGGCAGTGGGACTGTGGAAACCCTTTCTGAGGAGTCAGAGGACAGGGGTGAATTTTCCTTTTCTTCCTTTCTCTTCCTGTCCCCCACCCCCATGGACTTTCCCTTCCTGGCTGTCTTTCTTCCCTGCAAATCATGAGGTTGTTATGTCTTACACAGAAGAAGGATTTTCCAGATGAGCAGTTCTTCGTGGTGTTTGTGATAAAACCTGAAGACTACGCTTGCGGGGGATCATTCTTCATCCAGGGTAAGAGGCACTGAGGGATGCTTGGAAGAGGAGGGAAGGAAGCCAAAAGCTCACCTCTCGCTCTTCCTGGGGGCCTAGCACCAGTGACTTGACAAAGCACTCAGAGACACTTGGATTAAAAAACAAAATGAAGGGGGTGTTGTGGTGGTGAATACCTATATTCCCGGCACTCGGGAAGCAGAGGCAGGTGGATCTCTGTGAGTTCAAGGCCGCCTGGTCTATGGAACTATTTACAGGTCCCCTAGGCCTGTTACACAGAGAAGCCCTGTCTTGAAAACTAAAATGAAGATAACCCTATATCCATCTATATTGGTACTACAGATATCCTTTAGTACCTTCAGCTTTCCAATATAATATTTTCAATTCTTTGTGCATCTTATACAATGCATTTTAATCCTTTTCAACTCCTAGTCTATTCCTAACTCCGGATCCACCCACCCCTCTCCACTTCCTCCCAGCTTCACATCCTCTTTCTTGTTTATTTTTTACATAACACACAGAGTCTAGTTTTTAAGACTGTATGTTCAGGGTGTGGGGTCATCCACTGGAGTATGGTCCGTCTATCAGAGGCTGCCCTGTTAAAGAAGACTCCCTCCCACAGAAGCCATCAACTGTCAATAATTCCTCAGTGGAGGGTCATGAGCTCCTTTCCCTTCAATGCTAGAATGTTGATTGGCTTGATTTTGTACAGCATCTCAATTTTTTAAGTCTTATACCAGGCCATACAGAATGAGTTCCATTAGCTGGCATTTCATTTGCTTTTGCCATGTAAATGCAAAAGGATCTGTTTCCTGGGCTGAGGAGATGCCTACCAACAAGCCAGCTGACTTAAATTCCATCCTCCATTCATCTCTGGATACTCTATGAAGGAAGGATAGGAACAGCTCCAGCAAGTTCACACACACACACACACACACACACACACACACACACACACACACACACGAGAAAGAGAGAATGAATGCAATAAAAACATTATTAAAAGTCCATTTAAAGGGGTCAGCAATCAGCCTTTCCACAAGGATGTACAAAGAAAACCTAAAGTTTACCATCTCAGTTGCCAAAATTGTACCTGACAAAACAATAAGAAAGTCAAATGTAACTTATCCTGATGATGAGAGGTTATATAAGCTCCTGTGCATATGCAATAGTCGTGCTGCCCAGAGTAGAATAGACCCTTAATTGAGAACACAGACCCCGTGACAATGGGCCGTATGTCACCAACACAGAAGGTGTTTTCTGTTGAGTATAACATGGCCCCCTTGGTGTCAGGTGACATTTCTGCTTGTGTGTGCTTTAATCTCTTAATTACATAGCTCTGTAGTCTTGCCAGTGTCTAAGGTTCCTTGATAAGCTCTAGGGCCATAATGACTGTGTAAAGAAAAACAGATTTTCACTGGGTGGGAACATGTTAGCTACAGAGGCTGTAGCTATCTGTTTGGGGCACACTCTTCTTGAGTTGTTTGTGGACATCAGGAGAAAGGTCAAATCTTCTACATAAAGAAGGAAGACTGCTGATCCATTTCATTTGTGCTGATTGGTGCTTCTAAAATGCACCCACACAAAGGCCAGTCCGAGTCTTAGCCAGAGGGACTCCCGATGCGTTCGATGTTGGCTTTTACCCCAGTTCTTGTACAGAGGGCACAGTAGATTCTGGACACGGTATAATGTAACGGTTCAGATTGGAGGATGAGGGTCTAATATCTGACCCACTGCCTGTGGGCCTTGCTTTTCTGTATGTTGTTGCTGTGGGTTTTTTGTTTGTTTGTTTGTTTGTTTTGTTTTTTGGGTTTTTTGTTTGGCTTTTTGTTGTTGTTTGTTTATTTGTTTGCTTTTTTTTTAACCAGAAAATGAAAACCAGACCTGGAATCTACAACGATCAAAGAACCTGAAAGTGACCATTGTCCCATCCATCAAAGGTTGGTTTTGGCTCTGGAGTGCAGAGTAGAGATTCTTGTGCTGGGAGATCTATCATATAACTAAGTGTTATTATCTTCCCCTCAAAAGGAGACATCCTAAGAAGACTAGAGTCCACTTAACTTAGAGATAGAATTAGGTCTTTTTGAAGAGGAAGAGGCAGGCTAGGGGTGTGGTTTAGTGGCAGAGTGCTTGCCTAATTTGTGCAAGGCCCTCTAGCACAGAAGGGGTGGGGAGGGAGGGATAAATAGAAGGAAAGAAGAGGAAGAGGAGAGGAAGGGGGAAGGAGGGGAGGAGGAGAGCAGAAGAAAGGAGAGACTCGATTCTAAAGATGTATACAGTAATCCCCCCAGCTCACACCCCACCCCCACTTCCAAGGGTAGACATTACTATAGATACTGCATCTGGGTGGCCTCCCATACTTCTGCAGCTTCAGTGAAAATATATTGGGATTTAAGAATAGATGTGATGGAGGCCGATTCTTTAAGCTGTACTGTTCCCAATATAGGCCTCCTTGTCCCTAGGGCAAGCTGACTAAAACTGACTCTTTCTCCCCAGAATCTGTGTATGTGAAGTCCAGTCTTTTCAGTGTATCCATCTTCTTGTCCTTCTACCTGGGATGCCTGCTCATCATGCTCATCCATTATGTGAGGTAGGCGGTGGTGTCTTCATGCCCTTTACCCCTCCACCTCATGCTTAGAGCACAGGCTTAGGAACACATTGACCGGCCGCTGAGATCTCCGGCCAGCTGCTTGCCCTTCTGCGCTTTATCATCTGAGAAATGAGACCAAAATCGGCTCACTGGCAGATCTGAAGTCAATGTTCCACTAACATGCCAGCAGAATTTTCATTATGAAACCACCACAACAAAACAACTAGACTGTCTTTATACCCTGAGAATACTTGCTGTAAATCACACACACTGTAGGACATTGTCAGCTTTTCCCCTGCATAGAGTATAGAAACAGACTTAATCATTGTGTCGAAGGGAAATGTAGTGCCTAAATAGATCTCGAGGTAGACCTAGCAAGAGTGACGTGCCTTGATACATATTACCAGGTGCACCAATTTCCCAGTAAAAAAAAACGTTCCTTCAGGAGGAAAGGGAGAGGTAACTATGGGGCAGCTGGATCAAGGAAATTCCCCTGCCTAAGGACTTGGAGCCTCTGGTGAAAAACATAAATAAATAAAAGATTCTGTAACACTCTTTGCCTCTCTCAGCTTGCACAGAGCTTTGAGAATTCTGTTTCTGTTATGCTTTCTGAGAAACAACTACAAAAGGACGGCAGGAGGCTTACAGTAAACAAATGTTGTTTTCCCTCTGCTCTTAAACATGGGGGGGGGGCGCAGAACAAAGGCTGCAGAAAGCAATGAGCACTCTAAGCAAGACACAGGACTGTGGGAAGAGCTCCTTGACAGCAATCTCAGTAGCAAAGGCCCCTCTCTCTCCTACACTCTCAGAAAACCTTTGAGCCTTCTACTACCCACACCTCCCCACCCCAACTCCCTCCAGGGATGTGCTTAGAGGAGAGGAGACTGGGAAGTGTAGAGTCTACATAAACTAAACAGAGAGTTCAAGTCAGCATGGAGACCCTGTCTCTGAAAACCAAGGTCTGGGAGTGTGACTCAGTGGTGAGTGCTTCCTTAGTGTGTCTTTGGTCTGAGATCTAGCACAACTGAAAACCTAAATAAAAACAGGTCCACCATTACCAAACCTGAGTGGATTTAAGCACCAAAATAATTAGAGTTATGCATTATAACCCATTTGGGGGAAATATGGGAATATATGAAGAAATAAATACCCACAAATATAGATCCAGTGAATTCAGCAAATCTAAAACAACAGCTGTCCATCAAGGAAAGGCGCTCCCAACAAATACTGATGTTAAAATGAATGTATTGTTGTGCCCAGACTCTGAATCCCCCAAACCACCAAGAGACTAGAACAGATGCAAAAGCTAAGAGTCTTTTTAGGGTCCTCCATCAGTGGGTAGAGTAGAAGGGACCCTAGCAGCAGTGGGGCATAGGTTGGGGATAGAGTAAAAGGGTCTGGGGGGGTCTGCTAGCTGCATAGCAACAGTCTCAGGTTTGGCGCACCTCCAGGATGGGGGAACCTGTCCTGAGTTGGCTGGTCAGCTGCAGCTGGCCTGGAGGCCATCAGAGGGATGTTGCTACATACAGCATTCCACTATTATCAGTAAAGCACATCCAAGGCCCTCCAGCTAAGTTCTGATTGGTTCCTTACCACATGGGAGGACATCTGGCAGTTTCTTCCCACTAATTAGGGCAAGGTGAGGGTGGGTGGGGCCTCAACACACACTGTTGAGTCTGGGGCCTACATCTTGCTGGGTCTTTTATGCAGCCTGTAAGGGCTGACAAAGCAGGGGACTGGGTGAGGGGCTGGGCCCTTCAGTATCTCCCCTGTAGCAGACCAAGAGCTGACTGCAGAGGAAGTGCTGGGGTTGGGAAGTCATTTGCAAACATCACAGCTAACACTAGCTCAGGTTAGGAGTCGTCAATAGATCCAGGTCTGGTGGCACAGGCCTGTACTCTCAGCAACTCGGGAGGCTGAGGAAGAGCACTGAAAGCTCAAGAGCTGTCTGAGCCACAGAGTGAGTCTTAGTAAGAGCCTGCCTCATGGTGACCACCCTAATTGTCATTATAGAGCCTTCATTCAGCACCTGATGGAAGAAGATGTAGACATCCATAGCCAAGCTCTGGGACAAGCTCCCAGAGTTCAGTTGAAAAGAGGGTGGAGGGATTATATGAAGAGGGTGAGGGGGGGTCAAGATTATAATGGGGAAACCCAGAGAGACAGCTGGCCTGAGTTTGTGGGAGCACATGACTCTGGACAGACAGCTGGGAGCCAGCATGGGACTGACCTAAGCCCTCTAGATGACAACTGTGTATCATGGTCTTTTGTGGGGCCCCTAGCAGTAGGACCAGGACCTGATGCTGATGCATAATCTGGTTCTTTGAAACCTATTTCTTATGGTGGATTGCCTTGTTCAGCCTCGATGCAGGGGGGGAGGAGCTTGGTCCTGCCTCAACTTAATATGCCATTCTTTGTTGATTCCTAGAGGAGGTCTTATCCCATCTCAATAGAGGAATGGATGGTGGAAAGGGGTAGAAGGGAGGTGGGGGTAGGAAATATAAGGAGAGGAAGGTAAGGAAACTGGTTGGTATATAAAATAAATAAAAATCTAAAAAACAAAAACAAACAAACAGAAAACCACCAAGTCTGTGGTTGTAGCTCAGTGGTAGACCATTTGCTTAGCATGTGCCAGACCATGGCTTCAACTCCCAATACTAAGAAAGTAAAGCAAAGTCATCAATGAATGCTAAGTTAAGGAGGGGAGTCAGATGAGGAACTGGGTGGTTGTGCAGTTTCATAAATTGCTAAGCCATAAGGGAAAAAATGATAAATATAGTGGGATATTTAAAAATAATAATATAGTGGGGAGATAAAACACACCAACCTGTCCATCAAAATAAATGCTACCAAGGAGACAGTGAGCAGTGCATGCCTCCAGATGTGTCAATTCCTACAGATGTATATTTTTAATCTAATCAAGTGGGAAAGTTAGACACAAAAACTGTCATAAAAGGGACAGATGGCTATGTAAAGAATCCTATTAGAGACAATAGGTGAGAAGCTAAAGACAGTGCATGACCTCAGATTGGATCTTACATTCAAAGTAAAAATATGCTGTAAAGGATAGTTTTAGGCTAGTTGAAATTAGAAGACAAACAGTTGTTACTAGAAGTTTTTCCCACTGCCCTGGTCTCACAGCCTCACCAGCCCCAAATAACACACAGAGACCTTGTATTTAGATATAATGCTGTTGACCAGTTACTAGTTTTTTTTTGTTTGTTTGTTTGTTTGTTTGTTTTGGTGAAAAAGTGTGTATTTGGAATTAGCCAGCTGGACTCAATTTAAATGATCCCAATTTTGTTGGCAACATCCAGAGCATCATAATCAGGAGCCAACCGAACATACGCCTTCTTCTCTCCGTCAGGCCTTATGAGGGTGTTGACTTTGGCCACATCAATGTCATAGAGTTTCTTCACAGCCTGTTTGATCTGGTGCTTGTTGGCCTTGATGTCCACAATGAACACAAGTGTGTTATTGTCTTCTATCTTCTTCATGGCTGACTCAGTGGTCAGAGGGAATTTGATGATGGCATAGTGGTCAAGCTTGTTTCTCCCAGGAGCGCTCTTCCGAGGGTATTTGGGCTGCCTCCGGAGCCGAAGGGTCTTGGGCCGCCAGAAGGTGGGTGACCTGCGGATCTTCTTTTTGTGGCTGTGGATGCCTTTCAGCACTGCCTTCTTGGCTTTCAAGGCCTTCGCTTTGGCTTCGGCTTTGGGAGGGGCAGGAGCTTCCTTCTTCGCTTTCGGCGCTATCTTGGCAATAAGCCAGTTACTAGTTTTATATAGGCTAGCTCTGTCTTAAACCCATTTCTATTAATCTAAGTATTTCCACGTGGTCTCATCTTACTGGAGAGAGGATCCTCAGTTCTACCCTGTTTGTCCTACATGTTGAATCTCCTCCTATCTCTTCCCAAACCTCCTTGGCTCCTAGTCCCGCCTATCTTGCTTTCCTATTGGCCAACAGTGCTTTATTCATTAACCAATAAGAGAAACATATTTACAGAATGACATCTCCCATCAAACAGTGGATGAGAGAGTCTGTAATCCTAGCTGCTCTGATGATAAAGGAGGAAGATCTCGAATTCAAGGTCAGCATGAGCTACAGAATAATACAGGACCAGCCAGGACATTTAGGGAGACCCTGCCTCAAAACAAAAAAGCAGTGGGCTGAGCTATAACTCAGTGGCAGAGCACTTGCCTAGAATGCATGAAGCCCTAGGTTCAATCCCCAGCAACACATTAAATAAATATATATGCAAGTGTTAAATTTAAAGAATTTGATGTTTTCTTCACTCTATAGAAATATTGAGGGTAAAAATCTATAACAACTTCAAATGACTTTCAAATGGCACAGAAAAGTTAATATACATGTAGATGACTACATGCTAGAAACTAACATACATGTAGATGACGACATGCTATACATTAGCATATATGAGGAAGAGTGCATGCTAGACATTTGAGAAAGGAGAGCTGAGAGACAGGCAAAGCCAGGTGTATTGATGTAGATGCTAGGGAGGCAAGAGGACTGTGAATTCCAGGTTAGTTTGGGCTGCTGGGTGAGATCCTTTCTGAGAAGAAAGAAAGAAAAAGAAAGCAAGAGAGAGAATGATGAAAGACAGGAACAAAGGAGGGAGGGAGGGAGATGGAGGGGTGGAGGGGCTAGAAATGCTGACAACAAGTAAATCTAGGTAAAAGATGTATTGATAGATATTTATATCCTATTTCTATACTCATCCTTGAAACATCTCTGTAAATTTAAAGTTATTTTAAAATACAAAGTTAAAAACAGAGCTGGACATGGCAGTGCTTACGTGTGACACTCTGGAGTTGGAGGCAGGAAGGTTGGGAGTTCAAAGTCACTCACCCTTGTCTACATAGTGAGTTTGAGGCTAAAGGAACTACAGGAGATCCAGACTTTAAAAAAAAAAAGTATTAAAAACAGAAGCTTAGGATATAGGCAAAGTGTGGACATGAAGGGAGACCAGTTTCCTCTAAAAGTTACTGTTTCTAACACGTTAACTGTCTCTGCGTATCTGTCTGACAGTGTGCCAAACTCATTATCTCATCAGATGCTCTAGCCACTATTATTGGGCTACTATGATTGTTGCTACGTGGAAGCTTAAGGAAACTGAAGTACAGAGAGGTTAAGCAATTAGATCAAGAATGCACTGCCAGTACCTGAAGGAGTTAGGATTAGAACTCTGGCAGCCTGGCTCTAGAGCCTAAAGTTCTCAACAGGCTTAATCAAAGTGTGCCTTTCATGATAGAAGCAGTTGGCAGATGATAATCCTGGGCCAATGAAGTGTGACCACCAGCCTACACCCCAGCAAGGCTATGAATGTAAGTGGGCCCAAAACATTTCCATTTTGCCTCAGACAGCTGCTCTGTTGAAATAAAGAGCCAGTATTCTGCATGTTGGCGAGACTTCCTTCCTATGTCTTAGGTTGAGAAAATAGAATTATTTCTCCTTAGCCAGCTAACACGTGCCGTCTACATGTAAACAGATGAAAGTGGCTGTGACTGTCTCTAAAGCCGTTATTCAGCAGCTGAAGTTAGCAGAGTCTTTGGAAGTTGAGCTCAGACTCTGTTGAAAGTTCGCAGCAGATGACTTCGCTCCAGTCAAGTGCACAAGCACAGACTCTTTCCCAATATAGACGAACTGAAATAGAAATCTAGAGACACGGAGCCATTTGGCATTCTAAACAGGGGACTAGACTGAGGGAAAATGCTGATAGGAGAACTTTTCCTCCATTGAAAACAAAGTTTTCCATTCACCTATGTGATGCTCTTCCAACCTAATGTCATTTGCCTGGTGAGTCCTTTTATTTTATTATTAACACACATGGGACTTATAACCCACACTATGAGTTCATAAGAAACACTTGTAAGGGACATAGACCCAAGTCTTGGGGAGCTAAGAGCTTTCCCAAGTGGCTTCATGCTGTCCTGTCATACAAATACCATTTCCGCCCCTCTGCCCACTCCCATTCCCCTACAAAGGATGTGCAGGCTTGGAGTCAGGCACTGAATATGTGTTCTCTTGTTTTTATCACCCCCCCCACCTCCTGCCCCCCACCCCACCCTCTCTAAGTCCAACCACCCAGTTCTGGGTATGTATCCTTATCATTGACCCTTACCCACAGCCATGTTGTCACTTTAAATATACAGCATACAGAAGTTTCAAAGACCATGCGTGGGTCAGCAAATGGTTCTGTTTTGATTGATATCTCCAAATGGTGCATTTAGAAAACTGGCTTCACTAAGAAAAGAAAATCATAAACCATCAACTCATTTGGATCCAGAGATTTTCAGTATCATCGCAGCTGGGCTCAGAAATCTCAGCTGGATGTGATCACAAAATATGTCCTGCTGGCAGGTCCAAGAAACTGTCAATCCTAGAATGGCCTCGGTGGCACTTGGTCTCTACACTCGAGCAGGCCAGCCTGGGATTGTGGGATCCCAGGGACAGCAGATGAGTACAAGCCTCAAGTTATAGGTTCAGGGGTATTTCCCTTATCTACTGGAGGATGAATGAGTCTTGAGGCTAGCCAAGTTTCCAGACTAATTGTCTGGGTGCGTGCACCCATCTCAGTCAACCTATCTTAGTGTCCATCTGCTATTTTGCGAACTAGATACTTTCTATCTGACCTTAGCTGTGGAAATTGCTGAACTCCTCTCACGAAAAACTGTAGCAGTTCCAGAAGCTAATTCAAGCATGGGTAGAGTCCATTAATCCAAATGTATTATACATATATATGTATATTATAATATATATCCATAATGTATTATATATAACCATAATGTATTGGATATATATGGTCTGGATGATCACTTGCCCATCAGCACCTCTACCACCAGATTAGATTAGAAAGACCTTACTCACAGCATCCTTCTTGATGGAATAGTCAGGCTGATCCCTATCAAGTACCATCTTGCTTCAAAAAAACCAAAAGAAACAAAATAGAAGTTAACAAAGTCATCCCAAAATATATTTGAAGATGCAAGGTACACAGAGTAGCCAAGAGCTTTTCATTTATACAAACATTATTTTCTGTGGCTACTCAAGTCTAGAAACCAGAAGTGAAAGAAAATATAGGGTGTTGTCCTTCTGAGAGAAGCTTAATTCACTTAAAATGACCATCTCCAGTGGCACCTGGTCTCCTGCAAATGACAAAATGACATAACTTCTTCATATATGTGTGTGTGTGTGTGTGTGTGTGTGTGTGTGTGTATCTCACAACCTTTGTATCCATACCTCTGTGGCTGGGCACCTAGGATGGCTCTGTAACTAAGTTATTATGAACAGTGCAACAATAAAGACTTGTGTGTGGGTGTTTCTGAGACATGCAGACTTGGAATGGTGTGGGTGGCTCATTAGGTAGATCTATATTCTGTCTTTTTAGAAAACTACATGGAGACACCACAGTGGCCAGGCTGGGTTTTTTTTTTTTTTTTTTGGCCCAAGCAGTGTATAATAATTTCCCTCATCCATATCTTTTCCAGTATTCATTGTTACTATCTTCTTTTCCCTTCCTCCCTCCATCCCTCCCTTCATCCCTAACTCCCTCCCTCCCTTCTTTCCCTCTGAAGACCAGGCTGGCCTCAAACTCATAGAGATCCGCTTGCCTCTGCCTCCCAAATGCCAGAATTAAAGTTGTGCACCATTACCTTGTCTGTTTTACTGATGGCCTCTGTTCTGACTATGGTCAGATAAAAACTCAGTGTGTTTTGGTTTGGATTTCTCTCATGACTACTGAGGTTGAACTTTTTTGTTGTTTTGTTTTGCTTTGAAAGTTCGTTGGCTGTTTGTATTTCAACTCCAGAGAATTGCCCATTCATTTAATTAAGCATTTAATGATTGAGCTGATTGGTACCTTGCTTGGTCCTTTCTTTCTTTCTTTTAATTCTTATTTATTTTAGATACTAAACCTCCATCAGTTGTGTAGCTGGCCAAGATTTTATACCATTCTGTAGGCAGTCTCTTTACTTGATTATCTGTGTCCTTTGCTCTACAGAGAGAATAGCCACAGAGGTGGGGGTGGGGATCTTGAATTTAAAGGACAAAATTTAGCAGACTTGACACTTCCAGATACCAGAGCTTAATCCAAAGCCTTGATAATCAAGACTCTGTAGCTTATACATTGGGATAGAGGAGGGAATCCATGAATTAACTCTTCATTTTATTTTTTGTATGCATGTGTACACACATACACACACACACACACTCCTGCCTGAGCACAGGCCACACATGTGGAGGTCAGAAGATGACTTGAGAGAGTTAGGGATGTCTTTCTCTCCTTCCACCACAAGGCTTCCGGTTAAGTGGGTTTCAATCTCCTCCAGAGGACCCAAGTTGGATTCACGACCCCAGTTTGTCTCATGGGGCTCACAACCACCACCTGTAACTCCAGCTTCAGGGAATCTGGTGCCCTCTTCTGGTTTCCATGGGCATTGCACCCAGGTGCACAACACACACACACACACATACATACAAATAAATTTTTAAAAATTTAAATCATTAAAAAATGGGTAAAAGATTTAAACAGATACTTCAAAGAAGATGTATGGATGCCCAGCAAGCATCATCATTAGCTCTCAGAAAAATACAAATCAAAGTTGCAATGAAGTGTCGAAGTCTAAAGGTTAGGCATAATAAAAATTTTTAAATAGAAAATGAGAATTGGCAGAGCTGTAAAAAAAAAAAAATGGGAATCCTCAGACTCTGCTGGTGGGAATGTGAAACAGTGCTTGCACTATAGCCGTGTCTGAGTAGCCTCAGACCTCCCCTTTAGTTATGTAGCCAAGAGAAGTGAAGATGTAGCTATTAAAACAAAACAACAACAACAACAAAACATGAACACAAGTGATCATAGCAGTGTTATTTTAATACACAGGAAACAGAAACAATAGGAAGCACTCATCAAGGGAAAACAAATAAATGAAAAGTAGAACACACACACACACACACACACACACACACACACACACACTGGAATATTACTCAAGCATCAATATATTCAAGCACTGATACACGCTACAGTGCAGATTAACCTTGAAAATATTCTGTATCAAGGAAGCCACTCGAAAAAGTCTATGTGTACAGTGATCTCCTTTATACTAAATTGTCTAGAAGAGGTAAACTTACAAAGGCAGGAAGTGGATTAGCAAGGGCTAGGGGAAGGGGAGAGTGGAGAGTAATCTCTAACAGACACAGCTTCTTTGGAGGAGGCCATGAAAATGTCAATGTTAAAATTAGGTCAGGGTGACAGTTGTACAAGTATTTTAATATACTAAACCACACTGAATTGTGTGTTTTAAAAGACACATGTTATGATGTCAAGTTTATATCTGCAAATAAATGAATGTTAATAAATAATGTACATGTCTGAGAATTGAATTACTGGGTCATATGATCAGTCTATGTTTGGCTCTCTGAGGAAGTGCCAAATTGTCACCTAAAGTGGCTATGCCGCCACTTTAAATTCCTTCCAGTGGTATCTCCAAAAGGCCATTTTAAAGCGATCCTAGGAGACAAATTTTCAGCAGAGTGTGTAGGGATCTAGTTCTAGTAATATGCTGAATCTTAAGAGAATATGGACATGTGTAAACATGTATGTATTTGTATGTATGCTCACTTGCAGGTTCCAGAGGAAATCCATTGATGGAAGCTTTGGTTCCAGTGATGGTAAGAGAATTCCTTGATTCTTATCCCAGAGCCTCCCATCCACAGACTTTCTACAGAAGCAGTACTAGTGAGAAATGGTTTGATAGTTGGTAACTATTGAGATATGGAGCCCACACAAAGAACCTGTACCTGGAATGCCCTTCAATTATTCATAGGTTGCTTGCTTGCCAACCATTCATCTCTTTTACAAGTTGTCTCCGCCCTGGGATGTAACTGCTCACACCTGTTTGTATCCCTAGGCTGACTTGGAAGAGCAGTGAGAAATTGTTACGCCAACTCTCACACAGTGTACTTTCCCCTTTGAGATTAAAAAGGCTTTGTGCATGTATTTGTTCAAGCATCTAGAAAATCAAAATAGTTGAGACTAACAAGCACAATAAAAAAAATATAGTCATTGAAGAACCCAGCATAATTAAATATCTGAGAATTCCCACAAAAGACTTTGTCTGATATTTTTATTAAAACTTAAAAGCTTAGTTTGAGCCGAGATTACCATAAACTCCTAAACTATTTGGGAAGGGAGTGAGTGAGACTTGAAAGCAGCAGGTGGGATGGACTTCATTAGAAGGCAGGTGTAGCCGATATTTAGTTATACACTTTCCACATGAGTCCGCAGAATCCTAGAAGATACCAACTGGCTACTACCTCCACCCAGCAGGACTTTCTCCCTTTGCCAGAAGGCTTTTTGGTGTTTACATATGTCTTCCTTAAGAAACAGCTAGTCTGTTTTTCCAGCTGCACTCCCAACCTGGCACTTTGTCTTAATAAACATTCAATTGCCAATATAAAAGACTGAAGAAAACACCTTCTCTTGAAGTTTTGAACTGCTAAGCTCTGTATTTACTGTTGTTTATATAATGTTTCAATCAGTTTGCCTGGAGTGACTAGAAAGATTGAAGGTGTATTCATCTTGTTCATGTGGATCCACATGTCAATGGTAGTCCCTGCGGGGTATACTGTGGACAACTTCTATACCAGAGGATCCTCCGCCTGCAAATTGAGGGAGGGTAGCTTTCAGAGTTGATGGAGTATGGTGCTCTGGTCTGTTTCCCTGCCAACCCCTGCACTCTCTACTTACGCTGAGGGATACTGGGGGAGAGGAATCAAGGCTCACATCCTCATGTGCAATGTCAGAAGACCCCACCAATTTCTTCTCATGTTCTCCTGGAGTAAATGGCATTATATCTTTATTGTTACATAAGTCACCATACAGAGATAGTTTCATGGCTGGAGGGGGGGAGGCGGTATGAGGCTGGGTTGGCAAAGTGCTCCATGCCCTGCATTAACTCCCCAGCACCACATAAACTGGTCAAGTTGGTGCATGCCTGTAATCCTAGCACTTAGGAGGTGGAGGCAGGGTGATCAGAAGTCTTTCAGACCATCCTCTGCAGTACATAGTGAGTTCAAGACCAGCCTGGGACATATGAGACCCTGTCTAAAAGGAGGTGTCGGGGGAGGCTCAAGTAAATGTACTTTTAGAATTATTACTAAGTCCTAGCTCTTTCTCAGACCACAATTTTTTCAATATTATAGAAATTATAAAATTCATAATTCTTTGTTGTTGCGGATGTTCCCTGCAGTGTTGGATTAAAGGATACTTCCTCCTTGTGGCAACTACAAGTGTCTTGGCCAGACATGGCCCAATATCTTCTAGGGGTAAAACTGGAAAACCACTAGTTTATATACATCAGCTGCTAGGTACAGGTGGAGGACCCCTAAAGAAAATAGGGCTTTTCTTCTATTCAGAAAGTAGAAAACAGGTACACTTTCCAAAGGGCTTTGAAATAGGGAGGATTTAAGCAGCTTTTGTACACAGAGAAACTACAGGCAGAGCTGGCAACTCCTCCAGGGTCCCACAATCATGGGTGAGCCAAGACCTAAGTGACCCAAACAAGAGCAGAAGAGAGCAAGCCCTAGCCACCCAGGGAAGAACCGGCTAGCAACCTCCAGGCTTATGGAGCTCAGCCTGGTGAAATCAGCTAGAGGGAGAGCCAGAGAGGAGTGTGTTGTCATGAGACAGCCACAGGAGGAACAGAAATGTCTTTCTCTGCCATGAGCAAGACCAAGTGTCTGTGAGGAGCAGGAACTCAACGGAGCTCCAAGCAACAGGAAACACTCTAGGGACTGGACTCAGCAAACGCTAAAAGCAGACTCTCTAAGCAGAGGAAATCCCATGAGACTTGCCATGTTGTACTTACTGGCCACTCACTGGGAAGCTGGACACTGCTAACGTGTGGTTATTATTTTGCTGTGTGTGAGTGACACATACATATATAGATACATACATTTGTTATGCCTCTTAAAATATATACAGTAAAATAGATTTTGCAAAAAGAAGATAAGATTTAGAAGATAGCAGGACAACACATCTCTCTCTGTCCATTGTCTAACTAGCTGGGGAGGCTGCTTGATCTCTCAGCACCGCGATTTTACCATTTTTAAAATGGTGGTAATAGCCCCCACCTCTTAGGGCTGTTGAAAAGTCAAGCGTGTCTGGACACAATGCCTTCTCTTCAGTCTGGAGCCATGGCAGCATCAGTCACGGCAATGAAAGCTTCAGGAGTGGCGGCTTTTGTAATAGTGCTGCTTGCAGCCAACAGGAGCTGGAGCAGCTACCAAACTCTATGCTGCAATGAAGCCAGCACTGACCCAAGTGCAAAGGAGACAGCCAAACATTCTCACAACATTGTCTGTGCTCCAAATCTAATTTGTAACATTCAAAAGTCTGAAGCCAGGCTGGGAACAGAGCTGGGAATAGAGCTCCGTGATAAGACTGTTTGCACATCACAGGCAAAGCCCTAGATTTGGTCCCCAACATGCACCCGTATGCCCCCGACACCCCACATAAAAATGTGTCTAAAGATAATAACTTCTCAGCTTTGAACCTGGATGTAAAAGCATCCATGATATTGACATCATGCTGTGTATTTAAGAGCTAGCCCAAGGAAGTGCAGAGACCACTCTGCACTTAATAGTAAATAATAAATATATCAAGCTCAGAAACAAAGGGAGCATGCATTCTGAAGGCCAGAGTCTACATCCTGCAGGCCCTGGGAACACCCTTGCCTGCCAAGAACTGCATTAGCTCCATGTCTCATCCACCAGCTGAGGCAGCTCCCTTAGCCCATTCGCCAAAGGGAGACAGGAAAACGAGTCTCTTAGGCAGTCACGTTTGTCACCTGCCTGGAAATTTTGAATTTTGCTCTTAGTTATTTTCCCTGGTGGAAGAAATCAATAGGGACACAGTTAATTAAAAACCACATAATGAAGCCTGGAGAGTTGGCCTCAGAAACTGACTTTTTGAGAGTCCATCAATGGAACAAAGTCTGAAAGTGGGATGGAGAAAGTTGATTGTGGGGCTGGAGAGAGGACTTGGAGGTTAAGGCAACTGGCTGCTCTTCCAAATGTGCTGAATTCAGTTCCCAGCACTCACATGGTGGCTCACTACCATCTGTAATATAAGATCTTGTGCCCTCTTCTGGTAGATAGGCTTATATTCAGGCAGACACTCTATATGTAATAAATAAATAAATCTTTTTAGAAAAGAAAGTTGACAGTGACTAGGAAGTGTTTGGAGCTTTTGCATTTTTCAGTAAAATCACTGAAATGTATTGAGAGCCAGATGTTTCTGTGTATTAGGTTTGTTTACTGAAAGTACTTCCCTACCACAACATAAGACACTGGTGAGTTGCCTGGGGATATAGTTGAGTGGTGGAGAAATTGCATGGAATATGAAAGGCCCTGGATTCAGTTCCCAAAATCATATTGAAATGGGAGAGAAAAAAGAGGGAGTGAGGAAGAGAGAGAGAGAGAGAGAGAGAGAGAGAGAGAGAGAGAGAGAGAATGAATCACTTGTATCGGTCATGTGACTGGCAAGGTCACCTCTCAGAAAGAGGAATTGCTCAAAATTCCCACCAGCCCTTTAATATCTAAATCCTTGCCAAAGTACAGAGAGCACCAAAGAAATGCTGTCTCAGACATACATGGTTCCCCGGAGAAGGGGAAAGGGACAAGATCTCCTGAGCATATTGGGAACATGGGGGAAGGAAGAGGGAATTGAGAGAAAGAGAAGGGAAGAAAAGGAGGGGAGAGGAGGACATGAGGTAGCAGGAAGATTGAGTCAGGAGAAAAATACAGGAGAACAAGAAAAGAGATGCCATAATAGAGGGAGCCATTATAGGTTTTAAGAGAAATCTGGCACTACAGAAATGTCCAGAGATCTACAAGGATGACCCTAACTAACAATCTAAGCAATAGTGGAGAGGCTACCTTAAGTCTCTTTCCCTGATAATGAGATTGATGACTAACTTATATGCCATCCTAGAGCCTTCATCTAGTAGCTGATAGAAGCAGAAGCAGACACACACAGCTAAACACTGAGCTGAACTCCTGGAATCTAGTTGTAGAAAGGGAGCAGTAATGAGCAAAGAGGTCAAGACCAGGCTGGGAAAACCCACAGAAACTGCTGACCTGAACAAGGGGGAGCTCATGGACCCCAGACTGATAGCTGGGAAACCAGCATAGGACCGGACCAGGCCCCCTGAATGTGGGTGACAGTTAGGAGGCCTGGGCAGTCTATGGGGCCTCTGGTAGTGGATCAGTATTTATCCCTAGTATAGGAATGGACTTTGGGAGCCCATTCCACATACAGGAATACTCTCTCAGCCTGGACACATGGGGGAGGGCCTGGGCCCTGCTCCAAATGATGACAGACTTTGAAGATCCCTCATGGAAGGCCTCACCCTCCCTGGGGAGCAGAAAAGGGATGGGATAGGGAGTCAGTGGGGGGCAGGGGAGGAGGAGAGAGGTGGGGAACTGGGATTGACATGTAAAAATAGCTTGTTCCTAATTTAAATTTAAAAGGAAATATATATATATATATATATATTTATATGTGTGTGTGTATATATATATATATATATTTATATATACACATATAAAGAAAAGTCTCAGATTCCCTTGATGACTTTGGCTCCAGCCAATACTATGGCACTGGGCCAGAGAAATTGCCTGGCTGCCTGCTAATTTGTAGCCTCTGCTCTCAGTCCATTTTTCCTAACTCTCAGAAATGGATTAACTGGAAGGAATAACACCTTTCCTGATAGTCACATAGGAGGCTGAAAGTATTTCCCTGTTTCATGTGATGGGGTGACTCCAGAGACACCCCTAGAGAGAGGGAGGTACTCTCAGAGAAAGGGAGGCACTCTCCTTGTTACTAGGAGCTCTGAGCTTCACTGAGAATGTTAGCATCTGCACTAATATGTCAACAACCTGTTAGCAACAGATGTGCCTGATCTACCTCCTTAGTATCCCTCAAAATAACTGGAGCTTTCCCTGACACTGTCCATTGCTGTGATCATCATGTGTGGCTCTAGTGAGGGTAGTAACATCCTTCTTACAGGTAGTTAGGGTGCTTCTAAATGATACAATGAATAAACCCCAAACTATTGTGACTTAATAGCAGACCATTACATCTGCTGTCTCTTCAGTGGTGACACTTGCTATGGTGATCCTAGACCCAGGCCCCTTCACTCCTAGAACTTTGCTGTACTGCCAAGTTAACTTTTCTTATGTAGGGTCAAATGGTAAATGTGTTAGACATTTGGAGATGTATGGTCTAAGTTGCAACCACCCAAATTCGTCATTGTAGCACAAAGCATATCTGTACTCAAATGAAGGTAGCTGTTTTGATTGAACTTTGTTCTTGAACATTGAAATTTTAATTTAGTGTCACATGTCACACTATTAATTTACATGTCACAAACTATTATTCTTCTTTTGAATTTTCTCTACAAACTAAGAGATTTACAAATAGGTCTTCGGCTGGCTGGTGGTGGTGCACACCTTTGACCCCAGCACTTGGGAGGCAGACAGGTGGACCTCTGTGAGTTTGAGGCCAGCCTGGTCTACAGAGTGAGTTCCAGGATAGCTAGCTAGGGCTGTTACACAGAGAAACCCTGTCTGGAAACCATATGGAAAAGAGGTGGCAGACTAGATGTGGCCTTGAGGACCCACAGTGATGATTCCTGTATTAAAGTGGAAAGAAAATCAGATTTAAAGACGGCTGCTTAAGTGACTCAACTACTTCAAGTCCTGAGGTTTTATTTCAGCAGCTGAGAGTGAAGCACGTCTCTAGTTTTTGTTTTGTTTCTTGCTGCAGGCTCTGGAAATATGGCCGTGTCACATCCCATTGCTGCCAGTACACCTGAAGGAAGCAGCTACGGTGCAATAGGTACTTCCTACAATGAGTCCTTTGGTAGAACTTTGTCTTTATTCTGCAGAGATTAGTGCAAACAGTCCTCCAGCCACTAATCATTGTGAGCATGAGTAAGCCAGCCGCCAGGTGAAGCTGTTCTCATACACAAAAGATGAACTGGCTGGATGTTCTGGAAAGTTCCTTCCAGGGCTCTCCCTGGCTCTATTGTTCTGTTTCTTGGATCTGTTAGCTACACTTGCACAGAACTCACCACAGTGGTTGCCATCAACTTCCAAGGCTCCCTTGGGACTTAAATTTTTTTTATTACATTTGTATTTATTTGTACTGAGGGTGGAGCATTTCCTCTATACATTTTGGTGATCAAAGGACATCTTGCAGTGGTTGTTTGTGTCCTTCTACCATGAGGGTCCCAGAGGTTGAACTCCCAGATCAGTGGGTGTGGCAACAAGCACCTTTACCTACTGAGCCATCTCACCAGCCCCTCGGGTACTTAAACTTTATTTATTTATTTATGGTGTGTGTCATATATGTGCACATGAGTGGATACTTTCTATCTCAGTTCTCTCCTGCTACTCTGTGGGATCTGGGGATCAAACTCAGGCCGTCAGGCCTGCGTACAACGTCCTCTACCAACGCTGCCACCTTGCGCTGCCACCTTGTCAGCTCCCTGAGGAGCTGAGTTTAGGGCTTGCAAGATGTGTCACAGCCAGCCCCTGTCAGCTGACCAGTTGCTTCCTTCTCAGTGTCAGTGAAGTAGGGCATTAGAAGACTAAGTCAGTGCTGCAAGTGAACACGACTGTCGCTAAACAGTCCTTTGTCCTGACCTAAGTTCACAGTGAGCATGCTCAGTGCCACCCAGTTATTCACTGGGCAAACCTGGAAGTCAATAAGCATCCTGGGCCACCTGTCCCTGCCATGACACCTGTGAGCCTGTGAATAATGTGCCTTAAACGGTCTCCACAGAGGGCCTGTAGTCCTGCTCTTTTATTCTGTAACTTGGAGCATTTGGGTTCAGTACAGGCTACTTATTTTTAGTTCTGTTAGAACTGGATTTTTTTTTAAAAAACCATCTGAACCGAAGAAATACAGCGGAAGGTAGGCCCAGCCCATGTGCTCAGGCTGCACAGAGTCCATCTGCTCCAGAACGTTCACGAGAACAGAAGAACCCGTCCCATAATGCCGTTGGCATTATGTAACGATAGAAATGGCATGTGGGGAATCTCTCTGGATAAACAGTCTGTGAGAAATGTACAGCAGTTGAATGTGTGTGTGTTTACCCACATGCATGATAGAAGCTATAAATAACCCTGCACGTGCATGCTTATACATCTGTGTTCATATCTTAAAACGTGAAACACAAAATACAAGCACAAGGTTATTTTTGCATCCGGATATCTACAGAGCATATGCCATTCTATTCTTTTTAGTCAGCCCTAGAAACAGACAAATCAAGTATAAAATGGGATACAAGAAAGAATGGTGTTCACTTGAGAAGGCATCAGAGGAGCGTGTCTTCTTGGCAGAGAGTTAATTTGGGCTAACAAGTTATTTTCTAGACTGAGTAAGCATTGCACTTTTGGCAGAGGAATGGACTCTGTAGACTGTCCTTGGCTTTTAAAGGCAGATGAGTTTTCTGTTTCAGATGAGTCGAGTTCCAGTCCTGGAAGACAGATGTCTTCCTCTGATGGTGGGCAGCCATGCCACTCAGACACAGACAGCTCTGTGGAGGAGAGTGACTTTGACACCATGCCAGATATTGAAAGTGACAAAAATGTGATCCGGACCAAGGTACCAATGCTCCATGACCGTAGTTTTTGAAATGGAAGCAAGTTTGGTAGTAAAATAAACTTCACCAGGGCCAGTTTCCTTAATTGTTTTTCCTTCTAAGGGAGGTCAAATCTTCTGAAGGATTTAGATGAAACATAGCTAGAACCTAAAACAACAGCCTCTGCATCAGATGGAACAGAACAGGGCATCCCATAGCCTCAGCACCCGAAGCATTTGTGAAGAGGAAAGGATCAAGGGATCCAATCACATGGAAACCGACATTTGTCTCAGGGCTGCGCAGGAAAACAGTCCAGTTTCTGTGCATATATCACTTGAGAGCTTTCTGGCATAGGTTTAATAATTGTATTTTAAAGATATGCGTATAAATCACACAGTTTCAACTGTATGAAAGTTGGGAATGACACAGCAAGCAGATCTGAAAGCTGAGTAGGCAATGCTTGAGATGTGGAACATATTCAGTACTCCTGGTAGGATTCCTGCATCAGCCGGATCCTTGATGTGCCAAGGAGAATGATAGTGTTTTTATTGATATGTCCAGAGAAAAGCAAAATTAAAGAAAATGTCTTGATGAATAATTTTAATCCTCAGGGGCAACTAAACTGATCTTTCTAAAGTTCTCCCTTGTGTCCTATACAAGAAAAGCTGGACACTGCATTCTCTTCCTATTGATGTCCTAGATGTTCCTGTACCTGTCAGATCTGTCGAGGAAGGACCGGAGAATTGTCAGCAAAAAGTATAAGATATATTTTTGGTAAGTAGATGACCAGTGGGATCACCATTTCCTTAAAAACATTGAATTAAGCCGGGTGGCGTTGGCATACGCCTTTAATCCCAATACTTGGGAGGCAGAGATGGTGGATCTCTATGAGTTCAAGGCCAGTCTAGTCTACAAATCGATTCCAGGACAGGTTCCAAAGCTACACAAAGAAACCCTGTCTCAAAAAAACAAACAAACAAACCTTGAATTGCTTAAATCTATTTTTCCCATGTGTGTGTAATCTGCAATGCTAGAGATCAAACCCAGGCCCACACATAATAGGGAAAGCAAGTCCTCTACCCCTGGACTACATTCTCCATCCCTGAATTCTTTACATTGACATTTTTCTTTGTAAAAAGCTATTGCCTCTTATATCACAAGGCATGTTATGGATGATGCCTCAACTTGTAACAAGAAAGACCTGTAATGTGACCATCTCATGGGTGTGTCCTTCCACTTAGCCAAGAGAGCAGAAAGCTCTAGACTAACTGTGGTCCTCTTGTGCCAACACCTTGCCCCTGCATTTTTATTTTCTGAAGAATCCTCCTATTTCCGGATGCTGAGATTAGAATGAAGTCAGGGAGCCAAATGGAATCTTATAGCTGAGCTATCATTTTGGAATTGTTATTTAAGACCCTCCACAAGTTATTCCTCACTTGTTACTTATACTCCAACCACATTTAATCCAGGGGTCATATGGTTATATACAAAGTAGATCTCATCCTGTTTTAAAATGATTGTACAGAGGAGGAGAAAGGAGGAGGGAGGAGAGGGGGAGGGGAACTTCAACTCATTGAGTGCCAATAGTTAGTTTTAAATACATAATTTCAGGCATGATGGCAATGTCTGTAACCACAGCTCTTGAAATCTTCAAAGGTTCAAGATCAGCTTTGTCACACAGCAAGTTCTAGGCCTGTCAGGGCTACATAGCAAGACTCCGTCTCCAGTTAATCAAATAAATGAGTGATTAATGATTTCAGTTAACAGTGCAATGATTCTTTGCTATAATCAAATCAATAGGAGTAACCAAGGCAAGCTATATTTACTTCCCTCTGTCCAGTTTGGTCCAAATCTGTCTACCAAATGTTCAAATGCACAGGAAAGGAGAGGCAGACCAGAATCAGGAGCTGTACCCTTAGTTCCTAGCTGCTTTTGCAAGCTAAGTGTGAGTTTGTAATGGGGAAGCCATTCTTTATTAAAGCTGTCACATTGGGGTCACCATTTGTGGTTCGTTCTGTCACAGGAACATCATCACCATCGCTGTGTTTTATGCACTGCCTGTGATGCAGCTCGTTGTCACCTACCAGACTGTAAGTGTTGCCCCACCCACACGCCCAACTTCTGTTCAAGGGGAACGCCTTCACTCTGGCTTGCAGGGAGCATACAAGCAAAACACTCATACATATAACATAGATAAATCTTTTTCAAACAGTTTGAAAGCAGTTTCATGGAGCTAATAAGATATTAAACCAACAACAAAGAATTAAAAATCAGAAGAAAAAATTCACACTAAAACAGCTTGAGGATGTCTACTGCTCCTTCATAGAAACCCTGAGTCCAAGTCACTAAAGTAGGAATTTAATTCGGATCCATATTTCTAAGTATACAATTTCTAGAAATTACGAGACTTGAGGAGGCCTGTTTAGAATGATATGTGATTAAGGACATTTTATGCACAGTCCCTCAATTTTCACTCTGTATTAAAATCATGTGGGGTACTTTTAAGAATCTCAGGGTCCAAGGTAGAACCCCAACTAAACATACCAGGGCTTCAGGATGTAGAACCATGCATCAGTATTGTTTAAATTCTCTATGATTTCTCTGTAGAGTCAAACTAATGTGGTAAAATATCTAGTCCATTCATATTCATTACATAATGAAGACAAAGACTTTTTGAGGTTTGAACACCACTGTTTGTCATCTAAATATTTCTACATCCATGGGAACCCTGTCAGAAGCTACAGCTTGCTCTAATGGAGATGTGATAGATAAGGAAAACTAGATAATTCCCCACTGGCTGCTTGGTGGGCACTCAGAGGGTGGGACATCTCTATTCCCTCTGAGCCCTTTCCGTTCTTTATGACTTTGGGTAAACTCAAAGGATGGAGAAAAGCCACATTTCCTCTTCTCTCATTTGATTTTATAGGTGGTAAATGTCACTGGCAACCAGGACATCTGTTACTACAACTTTCTCTGTGCTCACCCCTTGGGTGTCCTGAGGTAAATCTAGCCCTCTGGTTCCTTGTAAAGCATTTGAGATTCTTTCTGTTTAATTTGACTTAATATTTTAAAAACAACTGTGGAAAACTACTCAAGTCAGGAAAAAAAGAGGAATTAAAGCCAGATATAGAGATCAGTTACCTCATGAAGTAAACATTGTTAGTATCACCATTTTAGATGAAGATGCCAAGGCTTAGACAGGTATGGATTTGTTGAATTTTATTCCCTTGGTCCTTACTGATGTCAGAATTCATCTATAAACCTGGTTGTTCTAAAGACCCCAGAATTTGGTGAAAGAAAACATCTTCCTCTCTAACAGAGTGGAACCAGCCACTGTTGGTGATGCTTCTGTGCTTATCCTGAAATTCACAGTTGGAAAGCTAAAGACTGACACACTGTGGGTCTGCTGATGAGAGTCATAGGTGGGGCTTAATTGCTTGTCTGTCTCTGGACCAGCTCTTCCTCAGGACTCATGCTTTGCCAGGGCCATGAGAACAAGAGATGATCAGGTGGGTATTAGGGATGGTGAGCAGACATCTCTGAGAAGTTACATTAAGTCAAATGAGCATCTTCAAATCAAGAAGTTAGATTAAAGAGGAGTTCTGGTGATTGTCCAACCCTGAAGGCTCAAGGAAAGGCATTCCCCAGAGCACTTTTGCATTCAGTCTTTGAGTCCTCGTGATGGCTTTCACACCACCATTTCTCATTCATCTCTATAGTGCCTTCAATAATATTCTCAGTAACTTGGGCCATGTGCTCCTGGGCTTCCTCTTTCTGCTGATAGTGTTGCGCCGGGACCTTCTCCATCGAAGAGCCCTGGAAGCTAAAGACATCTTTGCTATGGTGAGGAGAAAGTGGCACAGACCAAAGGCAAGAACTGGGAAGGGCCATGATTTCAAGTAGACCTGCAAAGGGGAGGGATGTCTGGCTCGATGATGTGATTTTAAATTGTGTGTAGAGCCACTTGAGGCCACCATTTGGGGTTGTCTTTCTATTAACAACCTTTCTCCCTTTTTCAGGAGTATGGGATTCCCAAACACTTTGGTCTCTTCTATGCTATGGGCATTGCACTGATGACAGAAGGCGTGCTCAGTGCTTGTTACCATGTCTGCCCTAATTACTCCAACTTCCAGTTCGGTAATTAGAACGTATATCAGTGACATAGACTTGAGTTACAGGAGTCTTCTCCTGAAGCCCTTCCAAAACCATCCAATTCAGTGCGAGAACTAAAAGGCATTTGGGGTGAGCTGAAATGATCAGAGTGTACCTTGCCACTGAGCAAGATTTCTGTATGTTATACCTTTTCTGTTGTTGTTATTGTTCCCTCTGGCCACCATTTAGTCTAGAAAACACTACACTGAATGCTGATGCCAGAATGAGACACAGTGTCAGGGGCTAAGCTAACCATCACTGCCCTTTGGGCTTCCCTCCATGTAACTTACCTAGTTGAGCAGTTAGACTGCTCTGGGGTGAAAGTAATGGAAAACTCCATTTAAACTTAACTAAATGATAAGGCCATCACACTGACTGCTCACTATCTGGAAGACAGAGAGAAGAGGGGCTTTGTGACTGGCTTACCCGAGGGCTCTGCCCCTGTCGTCCCTGAGTGACCCTTTGTGTTGTTTTCCTCTCAAGGGTAAATTTCTCTCATAATGCCAAATGTACCCATAGCAGATCCTGGCTTAAAGTCTCCTTCGCCAGGTTCAGAGAGGGGTCAAGGTAGCCTGTAGGAACCTTTACTTAGAGCAAGGAAACATCTTCATAAGAAACCTCGGGATAATGTTCCCTCATGTCTCAGTAGCTCAAAAGGTCATAAGTACATCCCTGAATCATTTCCTTGGTAATGGCTAGCTCACATCTAGACTGCTACATCCACCAGCTAAGGAAATTGGATTAACTTTGGACCATTCAGACCCATCCCTTCCAAGAGTAGGGTTAACTTTTCTGAGGCTGGAAGGATGTGCAGTTCTGAAATAAAAAAGATGGTAGACACAAAGTTAATATTAAAATGTTGTTAAGAATGAAGAAGGATCGGTGGTGTCTGCCTATAAATTTAGCACTTCTGGGAAGCTGAGGTAAAAGAAATCTCTAGACTACATACAGTGAGACCCATCTAAAAAAGACAAAAGAAAAAGAGGATAGAAATGAAGAAAGTAAGGGCTGTACACTGCCACCCGCACTCAAATATAATGATTTTTAAGTAAAGTATGGTTGTTGTTGGTTTTTTTTTTTTTTTTTCCATACAAGGTCTCACTATGTAGCCATGGCTATCTTGGAATTTGCTGTGAGACCAGGCTGGCCTGGAACTCACAGAGATCTGCCGGTCTTTGCCTCCTGAATGCTGGGATTAAAACTGTGCCATCATCACCACATAGCACAATCCACAGGACTTCTTAATTGCCTGGCTTGTGCACTTTCTGTTTCCTGTTTAACAAATTTCTCCCCAGAGTGTTAATTCCCACCTGAGCTGACTGTGAGTTTTTATTTCCCACATCGGCATTAGCATTGGCCACGGTCAGGCATTTAAATATCTTACGGAAGTTTTGAGTAGCAGCTCATTATTGTTTTGTTTCCTGTCTCCGTAACTGTACAGCAGCTGGGCCTCATTTAATGAGTAGCTGTTTCCATCAGCGGGCTATTACACTATGCATATAGACAGAGCATTGAATGTGGCTATGTTTCGGAGTGCTGAGAACACCTTCCACCTGACACCCGTTTGATTGTCACTGTGCCTAAACTATCACCATTAATTAGAGGTTTTGATTTATTTTGTCACCATTGCACAATACAAGGTTTAGAATGTGCATACCCTTGCAAGTAAGGTAGCTGTTTACTTAGCGCATCATATGTTTTCCTTCTGTGAACCATACATAATACATGAGTGAGTGGGAAGGGGTTAGAATTAGAAGACACAGGATCTTCCTAGAGCATGTGCCTGGAGGGACTGTTATGTTAGAGACCTCTACATGTGAGCAAATGTTCCACTAACTACAGCTAGGGGGCGGTCAGGAGCTGAAGGAAACTTGGAGTGTGGTTGCTAGTCACCCACTGAACTTCTTGTCTTGGATCCTCAGACACTTCCTTCATGTACATGATTGCGGGCCTCTGCATGCTGAAGCTCTATCAGACCCGCCACCCAGACATCAATGCCAGCGCCTACTCTGCCTATGCCTCCTTCGCTGTAGTCATCACACTTACCGTCCTTGGAGTGGTGGGTCCCTCTCCCTCTGCCTCCAGTCTGGCTCTGGAGAAGTGTCCCCTTTGGGGGGATTTCTGTTGTTTGTGTCTCTTTGTTGGGCTTCAGGTGCATGGACTTGGGTCTGTTCATGGCATTCTGGCTGGGTTCCAGATGATGGTTTCTAAGCAACTAATAATTGCCTGTAAAACTCGCAGAGTCATGTCAAAACTGGAATACATACATCTTCTAAGCTGATTGGAGAAACCAACCTGAAGGAGAAACTGCTTCTAAATGTGCATGGACAGCTGTTGCTGGCTGCCTTCACTTATTTGACGCACATTCTCCCCAGCTCTAGAGCAACTGCCTCTCCATCTCTTCCTCTTCCTGTTCTCATTTGGCTAGACAGCCAATATTTTTTCTATCCACTGTACAGAAAGATCCCTGTGAGTTTTGAGGTTAAAACAAAAGCAAAAACAAAATGCACACAAGGCTAGGTGGCATTTAAAAACATTTATATTCTTTGACAATTTCATACCTGTATTTAAAACATCTAATGCATCTACCCCTAATTCCCTCCTCCCACCTGCTCAAGCCACCCCCAACCCCCAACACATTCCACTCCAAGCCTTCATGCCTTCTTCATTTTTATGTTTTTATAACCTACTGAGTCTAATTAGTGCTGGATGCATGAGGATGGGTGTAGGGCCATCCACCTGAGCATGAACTCTACCAATACCCCACACACCACCCCCCAAAATGACTCTCCCTCCCTCAGCAACTAGCAACTGCCAAGTACTCCTCAGCTAGGGGTGGGGCCTTTTGAGCCCCTCCCTATGCTCACTGGAAGGTTGCTTGGCTTGGTACTTGCAGACCTTGTGCAGGCAGCCACAGCTTCAGTGAGTTCATGACTACAACTGCCATGTCATGACCAGAGGACATTCGTCACCGTCCTCCAGCTTTCGTCTTCTTGCCACTCCCCACTTCCAACTTGTCCACAAGGCTTATGGCTAGTGGATAGACTGTCCTACTTTAGCCTGAATGCTCACAGTTCTCAGTATTGTGACAAGTTTTGAGACTTTGTATTAGCTGCAGCCCACTGCAAAAAAAAAGATTTTTTTTTTCTGGCCATGGTTGAGAACAGTGCTCATCTGTGGACATAAATATAAATATTCAGAAGGTGGTTTGGCAACATGTCTTTTTGTAACAGCTAGTTTTTGCTTGATTTTGTTTGCTACTCTAAGAGATAGTGATTGTTCAGAGTTCTCTAGGGAAAACCAGATCACACTAACCCCCATCTTTATCCCTAGGTGTTTGGGAAAAATGATGTGTGGTTTTGGGTCATCTTCTCCGCAATCCACATTCTTGCTTCTCTGGCCCTCAGCACCCAGATCTACTACATGGGCCGCTTCAAGATAGGTGAGTAAACACATGAGCTCACTGCCCAGGGGAAGCAAGCACAGGGTCAATACTCATCCTCCACGACAGTGTTGCTAATCACCATGGACATGGGCGAAGACTGGTTATCTCTAAGGATGTCCTCCTTCTTATGGGATCTCAATAAGCTGTAACCACTATTTCTGTTTCTCATGCCACATAGCTGAGGTTGCAAACACTTTTCAAACTACCAAAAACTCAAAGGGTGTTAGGTCAGGTAACAAGTTGCAGGACAGCCAGGACTACATAGAGAGACACTGTCCCCAAATTACAAAAGGGGGGGTCACTAGGAGAGCAGTGCGCTCAGTAAACCACGAGCCCAGCATTCTCTAAGGCTAAATGGTTGTCAAGAAGGAATCATACACTATTTCCAGATACAAGGACTGAAACTTTTGAGAGCAGCTTTCCTCCTCAACTGCTGCCGACAGTGTGGACTGGAAACTAGCTTGTCATCCCCTGACAGTCAGTCAGTCATCACACCCTGGAGATGTGTTAGAGCATTTTTAAAATGATTTCACCACATAGGAAGCCCACATAAGTAAAATCTCATTTGTATATTTCAAGATAACTCATTATGTGTAAACACAGACCTGCCCAGGGGAAAGAAGGCAAATAAAAAGCCACAAACAAAATTTGTGAAAAAATTGAAGTCATGAGGCAGACTAAAGGATATTAAAAATAAGAAGAAGAAAGGAGGGAAGGATGGAGAAAGGGATGAAGGGATTGAGGGAGGAAGGGAAGGAGAGAGGGAGAGGGGTGAGCTAGGAGCAGAACTCAGTGGTAAAGCATGTCCTTAGAATGTACAAGAGCCTGGATTTGATCCCTAGCAATAGGAAGAACAAAAGAAAGGGAGGGAGAGAAAAGAACGGTAAATAAATCTTCGTTACAGCCTAGAAGGTTCTCAGATTGAAATTTAGAATGGTTGGTCCTTCAAAAGAACACTGTAGAACATGCCTGCTCTTCCTACGTCTGGCTCTGTTCTGTGTTTCAAGAGGTCCAGGCCCATCCAGCATCCAGTGCCCACTCACAAGCCTTGCAAGTAGTAATGGCTTGGTCATTCTTTGTCCCTGGAAGTGTGCACTAAAGGTAGTCTCTGACCTTAGGGAGAAGAAGATTCATGGGGAGGAGGCGCTACAGGTCCAGGAATATTTGGGGAGGGAGTTTTGAGGTCCAGTAACCCATTAAATGATCTAGAAGTGGAAGCTCCCTTTTCTGTATAGATTCCTCGACTGAAGTGCAATGAAGACCTCTAAACTGAGGGTCCTCTCTTGCCCAAAGCAATCCAGTGAAAACAAGTATCTCAAAGACTAGAAGATCAAATACAGCACACTCAAACTGGGTCTGGTAGTGTATACTGCTGACTCAGCACATGAAAGGTCAAAGGGACCAGCTTGGTTAAATAGTAAGGGCCTGTTTTAAGTACAGACACACACACACACACACACACACACACACACACACACACACACACGCATAATGCTCCCCCCCACACACACACATAAATACACTTGGGTCTTTGTGACTTAGCTTTACCCTTAGACAGTGATCTCCAAAAGGCATTTGATAAGGTGTTCCCATATTCCAGACCAAAATCTGGGAAGTCATACAAATTATCAAAAGGAAACTAACTTCCTCCCAGGTTCATGAACACAGAATCAGGTACTGTAACAATCCCTGTCACGGTCATGTAATAGCAATGACAGTGACATGCAAACAGTCATATAACACTGACTCATACCATAAACACCTCATATACAAGGAAGAGTTCATATGAGGACCACACAGTGATCTATGAGGCTCACAATAGGAAAGAGTTGTTACATACAAAGATTGATGAAGATTCATTCCCAAAGTGATGGGTCACAAGACTTACATGGTGAGAAGTATGTTAAGGGAACTCAGGGCAACCTGGGATCAATAGCAATGCAACCCTACTACCCTTAATTCTAGAAGAATAGGGATGAAATGGTCACTAGAATGTCTTGGGGAGGAAGTCCCTTAGAAAGGAACTTTGGTTGATAAACAAGTTCAGTCTGATGTGGCCTTATAGGGAGGTCCCCCACGGATGGTGCAGGTGCATGGCAAGGGGGAAGGGCATCTGGAAGACAGACTTTAGTTTTGAGTTCTGTATCCAGGGACCCTTGCTGAGGTGGTTTTATATTTAGCAGAGTCAAAACCTGCTGTTAAAAATAAAAGATGTCAGGTTTGTCTAAAGGCAGCTTGAGGGTGATTGCTTTCCTACCAGCTACATCCCCATCGCCACAGGCAGCATCGTGGGACCCTGAAGGGAGAGACAGATTCTTCAGTTGCCAAGAATTCCATTAGGAGAGAGTCCAAGACAGGGTCTGAAGGCTGATGGCTTTCAGTTCCAGAGAACAAAGCAAATTGCTTGGGCTTACAGGTTTGCAGGAGAGAGAGTGGGAAAACATAAACCTAACCTATGTGTCACAAGTTACAAGCCAGGAAAAGTACTAGATAAAAGTAGGACCTGGTGAGGTTGGGCTTACTATTGCAAAGGGGATGGAGACTGCAAAGCCACAGCAGGCTTGCTTATCCACTCTGTCCTGACAGGCTGTAGGGAGAGGTGATCTGAGGCCTGGCTGGAGGGTAGTGGGGAAGTACTAGAAGCCCTGTGACCTAATAGCTGTTTGCTTGTGCCAATGATTGGGTTTAAAGTTGGTGCACAGGCAGGAGGCTGCATTCATAGACAGTGGTTTGGCCATCTCTAACCTCTCCACACATTTCCTCGACACCTTTGCTTTCTAATAACACATTCCCTTCTCTGCAGTTCTCCAGAGAGCACACAGTAAAGGCGACGGTGGCAATGCAGAGTGTGTTATAGGTGACAGAGACCTCAGAGCCACTGGCCCAGATCACTGTGCGTCCTTTGTGTCAGACCCTAGGAATTAGACCTTGTGGATTACTCCTAAGAGAAAATGAGTTCCCACAGCAAGTGGAATAGAAGGAGGAAGAGGAAGAGTCCTCTGCATGTTCTCTGGGGAGGGGCTTTCTGAGTGTCTGAGACAGGCAGAGTCCGTGCGTTTCATGGGGGAGTAAACATCACTTTTACAAATGCCAAGTAAAGCCACCGCTTTAAATAAATACATGAATGAATGAATGAATGAATGAATGAATGAATGGAGAGGTTGTTGACCTGTTTGGCTTCCTTCTTACAGATCTTTTCTCTCTCTTATTTCTTCTCTGCTTCCCACTGATTCAGATGTGTCTGACACAGGTAATGCCCTGCTGCCCTTTGTCCAGATCTGAACAGTTTCTAGACCCGCCTGGCTGTCTGCCAGCTCTGCCCCCTGCCTTGCCCTTCCAGCTCAGGCAGTGCAGGGGAGGAGGAGCCAGAGAAAGTCCCAGAAGCCAGTCTGCATAGCAAACCGTGCTAGGGTGCATCCCTTCAGGGCCAGGCTCCTTCCTCCTTGTTAAGTTCACCCCAGCCTAGCCTTGAAGGGGAGGAGAGACCCAACAGAGCTGGGTCCACACTCAGCAGTGCTGGCTCTGGCTACACTCAGGCATGCTTTTGATGTCAAGACATGAATGGTTCACAGGAAGAGAGCCTCCCTTTGACCTTGACTCTGAACGCAGCAGCTGGAACTCTCACACTGATGCCGTTCCATTCCAAATGTGCCTTGTACACACCTACATTAAAAAAAACCTTTCTGGTCTGTCTTTCTCACTTCGTCTTAACTCACATTCCTTAATAGTTTTTACTGTTGCTTCCATACTGCTACTCTTTGTTAACGTTCTTCGTGTAGCCTGAGATCTCTTGGTTCAGAACTTAGTAACTCCTAACTGCACTAAGAAGGATAGATCGGAACCTTTACAAGTCAAGATCCCCAACCCCCCACTATGGAGGGCAAATGTTTGAAGGTAGCTTCAAGGGTCCCATTACATCTCCACTGATAGGAACCCTCACCAGAAAGACCATTAAACAATGGACGTTTAGCCGAAGGAAGCAGAAAGGTTGCAGCTGCCTGCCATTCATGGCCTTGGCAGCCTTTGTGCCAAGTGTGATGCATGCACATGGCACACCCTCCAAGACAACATCATTTTCTAGAACAGTGCTTCGTAACCTCCTGAGACCCTTTAATACTGTTCCTCATGTTGTGGTGACCCCAGCCATAAAATTATTTTCGTTGCAACTTCATGACTGTAATTTTGCTTCTGTTACAAATGTAAATTTAAATATCTGTGGTTTCCGATGGTCTTAGGCACCTGTGAAAGGGTTGTTGACCCCCAACGTGGTCAAAACCCACTGGTTGAAAGCTGATGTTCTAGATCATATATTTATTGTTCACTTTCCAGATGTAAAGCATTCTAATGCATTTTAATAGAGTATAGATGACATCCTGCTTTTCCCAATCATTTGAGACATGACCTTCAGGTTATTTCCCAGTCTATGTATTTTCTCTGTGTGCTCTTACCGTATGATTGTGTCAACACAGATCTGGGCATCTTCCGAAGGGCTGCTATGGTGTTCTACACAGACTGTATCCAGCAGTGCAGCAGACCTCTGTATATGGTAGGTGCATGCTCCTGTGTCCTTGGCCATCTCCCAGAAGTCCGAGGAGCAGTGGGAGGGCTAGGCTCGGAGCAGAGACTCAAACCTCCAGGAATCCAAAGAACCAGATGGCCTGAGGTGGCTGCAGTCCAGTCAGTGGGGAAAGATTCGTGTTGCTTATTCTTTTTAAAGGGAAACTACAGTGGTCCTGCCTGTATAAATAAAATAGTTGCTGGTTTATAAAAAAGATGAAGGAAATATATAAATACACATGCATACACGCATGCACACACACAAACACCCCAAACTTTTAAAATGGTATATATGTTTTAGTTTTATTTTCCTTTGTGAGAACTTCACACATGAGTACCTCATCTACAATACTACTGACTCTTCCTCTGCCTTCCCAAATTTATGACCTCTTTAATTATTATTGTTACATATATGTGTAGATATATACATACATACACATGTATATGCAACCTACTATATGCAACCCGTATGTACGTGTGTGCAGGGCTGATCACTTAGGATGGGAAAACCTGTAAGGGAGTTCCTCCCTGGAGGAGGCTTATTCTCCTTCTCCCAGTAGTTACTGACCACCTGCAGCTCTTCATCTAGGGGTGGGACTATGTGGAATTTACCCCATCTATGTTAGCATGTCAACTGGAATACACCAAACTTTTAAATAGTGATAATTACTGTGGGGAGAATCAAGGCAGAATGCCTTTATAGTAAATAATCCAAAGAGGTGGCCTCACGAAAGTGAAATTTCACGCTATTAATAGTTTTACCAGGTCAGCAGGTGTGAACTGGCACGGCTCTGAGCAGATGGTTCCTTCTGGTCACTTTCCTTAGTGCCATTGGTTTTGCTTACCGTCACTGTGATAGAACACTTAGACCAAAAGCAACTTGTGGAAGAAAGGATTGATTTGGCTTGCACTCCTGATCACAGTCAGTCACTGAATGAAGTCCAGGTAGGAACTGAAACAGAGACCATGGAGGGATGCTACTCACTGGCTTGCTCCCCATGGCTTGTTCGTCCTTTCTTATACAACATGGGACCACCTGCCTGGGGATGACACCACCCACAGAGGGCTGGTTCCCTCCACATCAGTCATTAATCAAGAAAATGCCCTTTTATGGAGGCATTTTCTCAGTTGAGGTTCCCTCTTCCCAGAGGACCCAAACTGGTGTCAGGTTGACAAAATACTGCCCAGCACAACTGGGAACTTTCATTTTCCACATTTTCACCTGCATGCGTTTTTACAGCAGGAACATTTTTTTTTTTGCATTCTTTATTTTGCTTTTTATCTTATTTAACATATCAATCCCAGTTCCCTCCCATCTTCCCATGCCCCCCACCAACCCTCTCCCTCCCCCATCCCACTCCTATCCTCTCTCCAGGGAGAGTGAGGCCTTCCATGGGGGATCTTCAAAGTCTGTCACATCTTTTGGGGCAGGACCTAGGTCCTCTCCATGTATTTACACTGAGAGAGTATCCTTCCCCTCCATGGGGGAATAGGCTCCCAGAGTCTAGTCATGCACTAGGAATAAATATTGGGACAGGAACATTGTTAAACTGTGTTATTTCTTGGTGGTTAGAATATTCCTTTAATCTCTCCCCATAGCTCTCATATTATCTATTTCTATACTAAGCCTAAGAGACTGGGGCAGAAGCCTTGCCTGACTTCCTTGGACATTGACCTTGGGAAGTAACCAATGGGAAGTCCGCTTACATCCTCTGAGCCCTCAGCCTTGGCCTTTACATGGTTCTGTGCTCAGATCTGATGCTGTCTTCTGCCCCGGAACACAAGAATTCAGTAAGAGCCCAATTAATAATCTTCTAACTAGAAGGGTTTCTACACTAAGAAATACGGAGAGCCCTTAGCCTTACAAGCTTGGGCAGGAAAAAGCTAGAGACTTGAAGCAGGAGTTTTCTCTAGAGGAAAACTATAAATCCTATTAGAGTCTACAATTTGGGGAATTGTGCGTGCCTGGGCTGAAAGGCAGGTAAAGCAATTAATGCATAATTGCAGAACAGTTTCAGCTTTACAGTAAAACTGAGCAGAAGGTTCGGGAGCCTCCCCACGCTCAGGGCTCCTATACACGTAGCTGTGTCTACTGTGAGCGCTCTCATCAGGCACCGTCAGCGCCACCACCAGGCTGTGGCCCACACAGTGCTGACTCCTGCCTGGTCCCTTGTGTGGGTTTAGACAAATTCATAATGTCAGGTTTCAAAGTGTACATAGCACCACGAAGACAAATCCGGCATGCCTAACACTCCTTTGTGTTGCCTGTTTACCTCTCCTTCCTTTGGCTACAGCCAACCTCTACAACCTCCACAATCTTAAGATTGTGGGTTAGGAGTGAAAATTAACTCTGACATTTAGTTCTGACTGTGCAAGTCCAGGCCACAGAAGAATCCTCACTAAGTAATAAGTACATGTCACCAGCCTCCTGCTGAGAGGTGGTTCCAGCTGTTAAGCTCCACTGACCCCTGTGGAGACAGCTACTCCCTGCTTTGCAGCAGACCAGGCTTTTACACAGCTGTCCTACATCCCTTTGTGGTCAGGTCTTCCTGTCCAGCCTGGCTGGGGAAAGTGTCTTTCCACAAGGTCATCGCTTTTCCACAGGTGACACTTTCACCCCAGTGACTTGCTAGCAAAGGGGCCTCTACTCTAACACTCCCTTCTCTCTTTTCCAGGACAGGATGGTGTTGCTCATTGTGGGGAATCTGGTTAACTGGTCCTTGTAAGTGGAATTATGGGTAATAATGTTCTTATCGTTATTAATATCTGTACTGTTCACTGTAGAGTTCTTTGACAGGGAAATCTTAAACTAAGGAAACTATAACACTGCTTGTCCCAGGAAGAAAAAACAAAACAAAACAAACAAACAAACAAAAACCCAGAAAACCAACACAACAACAAAAACACTAGGAGTCTGGAGAGATGGATCAGTTGGTAAAGGCCCAATGCCGTCAAGCCTGACAAACTGAGCTCAACCTCCAGAACCCCCTTGGTGGAATTTGAGAGCCAACTCCATTAGTTCTCCTCTGACCCCCCCCCACACATACACACACACACACACACACACACACACACACACACACACACACACACACCGTAATGTGTTCATATATACAAATGATAAATAAATAAAATATTTTAATTAAGTAAATTACCAGGAAGCTCTTGTAAAGTGCTAGGGGCTTCTTGATGCATTGATAGAATTTGCCCAACAAGACAAATATCTATGTGGACACATTGATTGGATGGATGAGTAGATGAATGGATAGATGATTGAGAGAAAGGAATAAAGGAAGGGGAGAAAGGGGGGGGGAAGGAAAAAAAGGGATTTTGTCCATGAGTGGAAAAAAAAACAGCATACTTTTAAATTATCTTGTAGAACTTTGCATAATGACTATTAAGGAAACATTAGGGTTTTTTTGTTTGTTTGTTTGTTTTTGCAAAATATTTCTTCCTTAGTTTGTGGTGTGTGTGAGAGAGACTTTGCTACTTCTTTCTCTCTTTTTCTGTTCCTGCCATATCACTCTCCTGCAAGTTGTCCCTTTTCATCTTCTTGTCCTTATTTGACCAGATGAGTATAAAATAGAGCTGCAACAGATGCACTTTCTCTGCTAGTTGAAATTATCTTGTGCAACCTATTCACACTTGGAACGCTTGAGATGCTTCTTTGATATCTCAAAAATAAGTAACTTTGGATGTTTTTATTTATGGTTCTTAGCTAATGTGTTTCTCTGGCTCTGTGACTTTTGACTCCTTTTTCCTGATACACATAAGGGCACACTCATGAGACACGATAAATGACCTCTTTCCTCATACAGCTCTGTAAGATGTCAGTTCCAATAAGATCTGAGGTTTGATGCCCCATAATTCCATGTTTCCCTGGCAGAGGGGCTGTCTCTTTCTTTGTTGTTCAGTATAGACATAAAGTAATTGAATATGAATTTTATTTTAAAAGAATAGCTCTCAGACAGGGACTCCTGTAGCCCAGGATAGCCTCTTGCCCCCACCTGACTGCTGGGATTATAGCTATGTGCTAAAGTGTCTGTAGCTCACCTCTCTTCTTCTGTTTGGTGATGTGGACAGAACTCAGGGTGTCCTGCATGCTACCCAAATGCTTCTCCACAGAGGTGCATGCCAGCCCAGGCCCATTCTTATCTACTCATTAGAATGCTATTTCTCTTAATCAGGACATACATGCAAACATGTGTGCAAGTGGAAGCAATCTATGATTGAGCTTCAGTATTTACAGATCCCCTATTTGTAAATGTCAGCATCTATTTACTAATTATCACTCATTTATGTTTTCCCCCTAAAGGAATAATTCCCATATGGCCCTGAGGAAGAAGACCTTTGGTGTCTGTGTGTGTGTGTGTGTGTGTGTGTGTGTGTGTGTGTGTGTGAGAGAGAGAGAGAGAGAGAGAGAGAGAGAGAGAGAGAGAGAGAGAGAGAGAGCAGACAGCAAGAGCAAAGCAGCACACAAATCAGTTGCTAATTGGTGAATCTGAGGAAAGGCCACCCGAGAGTTTTTAGTGAACTGAGGGTTTCAGAATATGCAAGGATGGCAGCTCATGCATAAGTTAGAACACAGTCAGCTGGACTATAAAATTCAAGGCCATTAATAACAGCCTTGCACTTGAAATACTTAGGAATAAAATTTGAGAGATGTGTGGAATCTTTCTTCTGAAAATATAATTGCCTTGTTAGGACACATAAAGAAAATTTAGCTAAGTGGAGAGAGATGTCAGGGTCTAGGGTGGAAGACAGATAGCTGTTCTCCAGTTAATGTGTGAATTTAAAATCAATGGCTTTTATTACAAAATGTATGTGCTCAGGCAAAAGTATCAACAGTGTCCAAAAAGCAAGGTTAACATGTGAAAGGAGGAGCCGAGAATATACTATTCCAACATTATCCAATAGAACTTTCTGGGATTACATAAATGCTCAGTGCTGCATGGCCCTAACAGGATCTATTAACATGTGGACCTTGTCATGTTGAAATGCAGCCATTGTGATTTTTATTTAGTTTTAATTAATTTAAATTTGGATAGGCATGTGTGACTGCCACATGGGTTTGCACAGGCTAGCCTAATAAGGCAATCCAGTGTTTAAAAAAAAATAACAAAACAGCGCGAGGCAAGCACTGGTTCAAAATTAAAAAATAAACCCCGAGTCATAATGAAGAGAATGGGAGCAGATATGTTGGTATTCGCTATAACTGAGCTACTTGGGCTATAAGGCAGGAGGATTCCAAGTTCAAGGCCAGCCTGGATATCTAACCACGATCCTTTCTCAGAATACAGTACAAATGGTTCAATTCCCCTACAGTGAAAGCAGAGAGACTGGACACAAGAAAAATCCCGAGGAAGCACTATGTCAATACAGATTTCAATTTTTATTAACATGTGATAATTATATATATACACAAATGTAGTGTAGTGTGATATCTCAAAAACATGCATCAATCAACTCCACCTTCCTTTTATCCACCCCTCCACCCCCCAACTTCTAGCCATCACTATTTTTCATTTAGGTTTGATTTCCATTTCCATGTTATCTAATAATCTCAATGACTCTATTGTATAATCATTGGCCATGTATATATATTCTTTTGAAAAGAACCTAGCCATATTGTCTGCTATGTGTGTGGGGTGTTTGTTGTGTATGTGTGTCTGGTGTGTATGTGTGTGTATCTGCTGTGTTTGTGTGGTATGTATGTGTCTGCTCTGTGTGTGTGTGTGGTGTGTGTCTGCTGTGTGTGGTGTGTGTCTGTGTGTGGTATGTGTCTCCAGTGTGTGTCTGCAGTATGTGTGGTGTGTGTGTGTGTGTGTGTGTGTGTGTGTGTGTTCAGGTACATTCACTGGTGAGCTCCTTGTAGAGATCAGAGGCTCTTTATTGCTCACCACATATTTTCAGTATTTTGATGAGACAGTCTGACTGAGGAGGTGCCAGGACCCACCTGTCCCTGTTGGGGTTATTGGAGTGTTCTGCCATGCCTGGGGGTCAGAACTCTGATCCTCACTCTTGCACAACAAGCACTTACGCTCTGAGCCACCCCACCCCGCCATCCCTCACCTGACTATTTTAAGTTGTATTAGTTGGTGTTTGTGTCATTGGTCTTTGAATTCCTTGTATTTGGGTATTGTTTAGTTTTCTTTTCTGTTGGTGTGATAAACACCTTGACAAGAAGCAGGAAAGGGTTTATTCAGCTTACAGTTGTAGTCTGTCATGAAGGGAAGTCACAGCAGGGACTGATGGCAGGGACCTGGAGGCAGGAGTTGATGAGGTTCTGAGGAGAAGTACTGCTCACTGGTACTCAGTCTGCTCTTATACACCCAGGACCATCTGCCTGGGATAACACCACCTGCAGTGGGCTGGGCCCTCCCACATGCATGTTTGATGAAGAAAATGCCCTACAGACTTGCCTACAGTTCAGGATTGTTGATAACTATTTTCTTGTTTTCGAATGCTTGTCTCTTTCCTCTGTGAATTGTTAGCTAATGCAGAAGCTTTTCAGCTTGATACAATTTCCCTTATGAATTTTTACTTTTTGTTTCCTAGAGTCATGATATGGTTGTTTCATTTTGTGTTATACTGTGTTATTTATTTGTTTGAGACAGGGTCTTGTTATCTAGTCCTGGCTTGTTTGGCCCTCCCTCTGTAGCCTGGGATAGCCTCAAGCTGCTTTGGCTTCTGACGTTCTAAGATTAGAGGTATGCACCACTCACCACGCTGTAGGTTTTTAAAGTATATTTTTAAAAAAATCCCTTCAAATAAGGAGATGAAGAAGAGACACAACTGGGTGAAGCACATGCCTTTAATTCTAGCACTTGGAGGCAGAGGCCAGCCTGGTCTACAGAGCAAGTTCCAGACAGCCAGGGGTACACAGAGCAATCCTGCCTTAGGGAAAAAGTGACCAATATTTTGTTACACGAACTTGAAGTTAACCCTCAGTCAAAGTAAATTTCAGCTGGCATTAACTTAGTAATGCTTGTCAAGCCAAATTACGGAGGTAATCGTACTTGCAGCAATCTTCTCTGATGAACTAATCATCTTAAATGGGAACAAATGCAGTATAGCATCCGCTTATTCACAACAGTGCTGTTCATAATCATGAAACATTGAAGGATTCTGGGAAAACCATTGCACCCAGAGAGAAAAGATAACTGTTCTCAGTGCATTCACACACAATACCATTGTGAAGTCACTAGATATAAACGCTCTGGCAAAGATGTTATACATTAAAAGTTACTTACATTGCTTATTAAGTTGTATAATTGTCAGTTACCATCCAAAGACATTTAGTTAGCAGAGGACCACTTGTTCATGGTGGTCCTGAAAGACAGTATGGTCCGGTGACATGATGGCCATCTTGGCTTGTGTGAGGACATTCTACGATATTCACACAATGCCAAACCTTCCTACTGTGCATTTCTCAGAATGTATCCATGTCTTTAATTCGTTTTATTTTGGTTTTGATTTTTTGAGACAGGGTTTCCCTGTATTGCTTTGAAGCCTGTCCTGGAACTAGCTCTTGTAGACCAGGCTGGTCTGGAACTCACAGAGGTCCGCCTGCCTCCATCTCCTGAGTGCTGGGACTCAAGGCGTGCAGCACCAACACCGGGCTCCATGTCTTTATCTTAAAGTGGGTTTTTAACCAGTGAACTCCCACGGTGGTTAATGACCCTCTCACGTTATACCCCTTTCCCACTGGCAACACCCTACTCCGCATCCACAGTGCCTTCTTTGGACTGATCTACCGGCCCAGGGACTTTGCCTCCTACATGCTGGGCATCTTCATCTGCAACCTGCTGCTGTACCTGGCTTTCTACATCATCATGAAGGTGAGCACAGGTGGGAGGGCTGCAGTGCCGGGGCCTGCCGACAGCTGGGGCTCCAGCCTCAGTGGCCTTGCATCTCTCCACAGCTTCGCAGCTCTGAGAAGGTCCTCCTGCTGCCACTCTTCTGCATCGTGGCCACTGCCGTGGTGTGGGCTGCGGCCCTGTACTTTTTCTTTCAGAACCTCAGCAGCTGGGAGGTAAGAGGCCCATTCTTTTATCCATCATGCCTTTTGGACCTTCATCCCTCTCCTGCGTTTGTTGCTTCTCTGTCCCCCCATTAAATTCACAGCTTCCTCCAGAAGAAAGAGGCATAATAGCCACACTTAGTGATGGGCAAGTGACATGTGGTCAGCATTGCCAGGGAAATACTACTGGAAATTGCAAGCCCTGAACATACGGCAAACGTGATCGTCACTAGTTCTCTTATGGTCTGTTTCCAGAGACGTTTAATTCATCAATAAATGCAGGGGTGGGATGCTATGTCCATCCTGTAGTCAGGAAAGCTGAGACCTCAGAAACCAGTACTGTGTCTGAAGCTCAAGCAGGAAGTTTCAGCTCTCTACTGCAGACAGCATCAGTACCTTTGATCTTAGAACATTTGTATGACGCCAGAAAGAAAACCCATGAGCAGCCATTCTGTTTCTTGTTGACCTGGCAATAGTTGGCAACCACTAACCTACCTCCTATAGCTGTGGAGTTATCAGCCTGGGCATTTCCTTGAGCAGTGATTCTTAACCATCCCAAAGCTGTGACCCCTTAATACAGCTCCTCATGTTGTGGTGACCCAACCATAAAATTATTTTGTTGCTTCCTCTTAACTGTAGTTTTGTTACTGTTACGAATTTCAGAATAAATATCTGATATGCAAATATTTGATATGTAATCCCTGTGGGGTCACCAGACACAGGTTGTCCTCGAGGAGAATTACAAACCATGTGACCTCTAAGTCTGCCTGTATCCATGCGGTGTGCAGTATAGTGCTTTCTAGGTCATCCAGGCTATGGCTGCATCAGCATGTCTTCTAATTACTGAGCAGTTTTGGGGCCCAGCACATTATCAGTTCATTCATCGGTTGGTTGACAATTGAGTTGTCTCCACCCTGGAACTAGTATAGACAGTGTTGCTGAGGGCAACTGTACATGGCCCTCAGAAGCTGACTTTCTGAGTGCTTCCTCAAAAATCAAACCTGGAAATCGCTGAACCTGGGTACTCTTGCCTACACCGGCTTCCCCGTCCTTCAGGGAACCCCCGCGGAATCCCGGGAGAAGAACCGAGAGTGTATCCTGCTGGACTTCTTTGATGACCACGACATCTGGCACTTCCTCTCTGCCACTGCCCTGTTTTTCTCGTTCCTGGTGAGTTGGTCATATCTCCTGGCTTCTTTCCTCCCTTCTGAAGTCTTGCATATTTCCCTGCTGCTCATCCTCAACCTGTCTGTATTGCCCTCTACTCTCCGCATTTCTTCATTGTAATCCAGGGTACTGACTGTCTTCCTGTGTGTTTTTTTTTTCTTCTGTAACTCCTGTGAGATCATAACCTCATTTTCCTCTACTTTTCAATGTTTGTACACACAGAGGGGTGACAAAACTATTTTTCCTAAATTGCACGGTGCCCTGGGATTAAAATACTCAGGATTCCCCCCGGGAACCATTTAGGGCATTCTCACCCATGGAATTACTCCTTCTCATGAGAGCCTCTTCCTTCCCTTCCTCCAGCCTCACTGTGTGATTTATAAAGATGAGGTCCCTAGAGAAGCTCAAGAAACCACACAGCCAGCATGCTCCTAATCTAGGGTTCCTGGGATTTGCTTGTGCACCCTCCCAGAGTCATGCTAACATAAGACGAGCATCCTCAGCATCCTTCAGTCCTTTAAAAATTTTCCTAGTTAAATGTCTGTGGTGCCTGGACACAGGTGGGGTGATCACTGTGGGCTGTCACTAGAGATAGTCCACCCTGGGGCCAATCAGGCAATTACAACGGTGGGGCAGGGCTTCCCTCTAGTGGCCAGCATGGGAAGTTCAACCAATCTCTGTGACACTTGGACTTTTCTGCTAGGAAGATATGAGTAGGGCGAGTGGTTTCATGTGGGGAGGGAATTGGCGCCAAGTAGGAATGGTCCGTTTCTTACATAGCAGTCTTCTATACAGCAATACTTCATTTCCCATAGGTCTTGACTTACATGTCACCTTCTGAGTAATGACAACCCAGGCCACCTTACTCAAATATTTTAGTCTTCCACCCGAGCTCCTGATACTTATACTGTAGTTTAATTTTAACCCTCCCTCACACATATGTCTGTGAAGTAGACTGTGTTCTATCTCATGTGCTTTCTTCCAGTTAAAGATCCTTTCTGGAATGTGAGCTCCAGGGCAGAGGGTGGGTACTGCTTTCATCCCCAGCTGTGTCTCTAGACTCGAGAATAGCGCATGGGTGCCCTCTCCATGAGTATTCAATAAATTGATACATGAAGCAGGGCTTGGTGTGGCCAGCACTTACATTCCCCCCCATCGACGACCCTCTCGCTTCAGGTGTTGCTGACTCTGGATGATGACCTGGATGTGGTTCGCAGAGACCAGATCCCTGTCTTCTGAGCCTCGTGCATCACAGGACGGGTCCACCTTGGTGCTGTTTTGTGGAAAATACAGTGACTGCAGCAGCATGCCCACTGCCAAACACTCCACTTGCCTTAGTGGAGTCAACCATGTCTGCAGTCACACAGGAAGGAGAGCTTGGGGTGAGCCCTACCCCCAAGAAGAATGGGGGAAGGGAAGCCCTGTTGTGCACAGAGGCAAAGCCAGGAGGCTCTGGAACCTCTGTTTGCAACTGAGAGCTCAATCTAGGTACAAGCTGCATCAACCCAGCTTGCTGCCTCAGCCCCTCCCTTCCTCACTGAGATTGGCCAGAGAAACCAGCTACTTGTACCTCCCACCCAGAACCTTTGGTGTGGCCACTGTCACCCTGTGAGACATCCGCTGCTCTAAAAGCCCAAAGCACCATCTCACTTCCCCTGGGTCCTCAGAGGATATGACTCCTCAGAATATGGTGCAGAAGTGGGACCAAGTCCCCACCCAACTGGGACAGACACTCTGGTCACTCAAGCGAAGACACCTTTTCAGAAGGAATACTGAACCATTCCTCAGGTCCCTGGCACTACTGGAAATGCCCAGGATGGGGCTTTGTCATATGCACTTCTGAAGCGATCGATCACCATTGCTGACCTCAAGGTCTGGGGATCACCTATTTCCTAGGGTCTTCATCGCCCCCTGGGTGCTGACTCGGCACTCTGATGACTTCTCCATTGACTTCTGACAGCTCCAAGATGGATGGGAAAGGGAGAAAACTCCTACAGAAGCTAGAGAAGTGAGAGACAGTGCTAAGTGCCTGGGCATCAGGCAGGGAGCCCTCCTCATCTTAAGGGCTCAATCCTGGAGCAAATTCAACAACGCAACAGGGCTTGGTGGTCCCCCCCCCCCACAGCTCCAGCTGTGCCCATTCAGCCTTTCCAGGTTAGTAAGTGTCCCCGGCAGCATTACCCTGGGGTTCTCCACCACTGAGCCTCTTGCCTGTCACTTATACAGGTGGAACTCAGGATGGACACCAGTTCCTCCCTTACGTGGGTTGCAGAGATCATAGCTAACCCAGTTGCCTTGCATTGCATCTCTCTGAGCTGTACTACAGCTCAGTGCTCTAGTTCCCTTCTCTCACACGGTCTGGCAAACCCTGTGAGAACCCCACTTTGACCAGGCTTCCTGGTTGCCTGGAGTATGATGTAATCAGAAAACAGACATAGGAGCGTGTGCACAACTGCCTATTTGCTTGTGACATTGAAGTCTCCCCTCGCCCATGCATTCTTGATCACTTGTTAATGAAATGGATCAGGCATTCCTCTTTTTAAAGTTATTATTCTTTTCTTTTTCTCAAATATCTGTATACTGTTCAAACATGTGCTTTGGAAGTTTGAATGGCAAGCTTTTCTTGATTTTAAAACACAAAGATAATTTCCACAAATAATTTTGTGCATTTTTCTTTCTTTCCCAAATGGTCTTGTGTTTGCAATTGGTTTTCTGTTGTTCTTCAAAACCTGTTGGCTTCAGCTTCTGTGGGTCATATGAAAACTTTCAATTAGATGGTTGTCAAACATCTTTAAAAAAAAAAAAAAAGACTGCAAACAAGTGAGACATTGTGGATTAGGTCCTTAATCCCAGCACAGGCAGAGGCAGGTGGGTCTATGTGAGTTCAAAGCCAACCTGGTCTAAGAAGTAAGTTCCAGGCCAGCTAAGGCTGCACAGTGAGACCCTGGCTGAAAACAAAACAAACAAAAGAAATAAAGTTCAAATCTGATAGCTTATGGCTGAGCGCTGATTCTCTCAAAGCAGTCTTCCTGGTGTGGAGTCCTAAATGTCCCACTAAGGGAAGTGTGTCAGCAAAGCCCTTCCAACAGTCCATGACCTGAGTGAATAAATACTAAGGCACACTTTCTACTTTGGAAGCTTGTTTGTGGGCAGAGTCAACGAAAACAGGACAATAGAAAGGGCCCTATGGAAGGGGAGGAGGGAGGGTGACTGTTCTTGTGTTCTGTTGTGCTACAATTGTCATATGTCCTGGTCATTTCTGTTCCTTGCAGCAAGACTAAAAAGACTAAAAAGCCCACACCAAACCTGCTTTTGAAAATAGAATTTCCAGGGGCTGGAGAGATGGCTCAGTGGTTAAGAACACTGGCTGCTCTTCCAGAGGTCTTGAGTTCAATTCCCAGAAACCACAAGGTAGCTTAAAACCATCTATAGTGGGATCTGATGCCCTCTTCTGGCATAAAGTTGTACATGCAGATAGAGCACTCACATACATCTTCTAAAAAAAGAAAGTAGAACTTCCAAGTCACTTGTTACTGGTTCTTTTTACAGCAGGGATCTTGTGGTTGGAGGTCACTGTGCTTCATCTAGGATGCTAGTGTGAGCACTGGGGTGGAGGAGGACCACTGCAGAGTACAGGCACTTCGCTCCTTAAAAGCAGAGGCCAGGCTAACTCTGAGAGCCCAATGCAGCCAACAGGTAACAGTGAGAGTGTGGAGGCTGAGAACACTCACAAGTAACGAGAGCTTCTCAGTTTGAGTGGAACAGAGATGCAACCACCAGACAAGCCAGACTGTGCCCGTAAAATGAGCTCTTAGCACCTGACAAACCCTGAGGAGGGAGCTGCACCTGTTCACGCAGGATGCCTGGGAGACTGGCCTGGTTTTATTTTAGCAACAAGAGAAGCCAATGGAAAATTGGAGTCTATCTGGGGAAAGGGACTTTCCATGACTAAAAGCAATCCCTGAGCCAGCAGGTGCGGGTGAAAACAGTTGCAGCTGCTTCCCCTGTAACGCAGGCACCCAGCAGAATGTTCTATGGGCTTGCAAAATGCATGTATCAGCGAGTTAACCCGATGGCTTCTGGTTCTGAGTGACAGGAACTCTGTCTGTGGGGGAACTGTAGGGGAAAGGCAAGAGCTAAGAGGCAGGGAAGCAGCAGTCAAGTGTAAGTGTGATCACAGAGTCAGACCTTTAGTCTGCCTGTGTCACCCTACTGGCTGGGTGACATAAATCAAGCTGCAGAAGCTGCGGCTCTCTGGATAGCTCCACTTCATTGCACAAGGCTGGTCCTCAGGTGCCACCTCCTAACACCCACTGGATGTGGGACAACAGCATGGCCTTCAGCTGCCCTTCCTCTCCTTTCAAAGCCAGCAGTCCTGCTTCCTGCCCTTATCTGCAGGTGACCCTAGGGTTGGGAAGCCTAATGACCATCAGAGGCAAGGCCCAGATTATCACCTCTCGGATCCCTAGGCTCCTCCGTGCCAGCTACCACTGCATTTTTCTCTTAATTCTAATAAAAGTTTTAATGCTTCCAAAGTTGGGGCCTAGTGGAGAGTCTGTCTACAAATAGTAGCAGCTTTTGTTAGTGCCATCCGCACCCGGGCTCTCAGAGGGAAGCAAGCTGTGATTTTTGTCCTTTGGAGTGGCTGGTACCACTGGAGTCTAGTGAATGTCATGCGTAGTGTCCCCATTCTCCTTACCCATCAGCCAGGAGACTCTGCCTGTGGGAAAGGAGCCTCAACCTCTCAGGTACCCAAACAAGCCCTAGAAAGGACAGGTGTCAGGTGACCCACCATGACTCATCTTCTGAAGGGAGAAAGAACGCAGAGTGAAGATTTGTTCAGCCTGAAGCTGCCCAAGCCTGGCTTGTGATGACTCCACACGGCAGGGAAAGCAGACATTTTCACTCTGAATGCTTTCAATGTTTGGAGGAGACAAGGCATACACCAGGGCTAAGCTTTAGTGGCTCCTTGCTATTAAGTCGCCCTCATCAACAAGGCTAAAAGTGCTTATTTGAATCCTGGCCATTAACAAACATGAATTCAGACAAATTTAGCAAGCGTCCCAGGACTCCTAGAACCCTCGAGTAACAGTTTTGGTATGGATGGGATTCTTCTATCAGGAGAATTCTCCTTGCTGCACTTGACAGGATACCTTTGCATAGCGTGTAGTGTTCTTGACATGAAGTTTAGATGTTCTTATTGGAAGACAAACCGGACGAGGTGGTTTCTGCCTGTGCTGGCTAATGTCCTCACCTTACAGGCTCTAGAATAATTGGGGAGCAGGCCTCTGGGCACACCTCTATCGGCTTATCTAGATTAGGTTAGACACTGGGCATGCCTTTAAGGAATCACTCTGATTGGACAGCACTGGCCCTTGAGCTGGGCACCAGACTGTGTGGGGTAAACAGGGCAGTGACCTGAGCACAGAGCACTGACAGCATTCATCATGCTCCACTTCCTGGCTGCAGATGCAGTGTGACAGTGGCCTCAAGCTGCCATGGCCATGACTTCCCCACCAAGATGGATCACTCCCAAACTGTGAGCTAAAACAAATCCTTCAGACTTTAAGTTGCTTTTGTTGGATGTTTTGGTACAGAGACAAGAAAAATAGTTAAGACACCTGTTCTTTTATTCACCCAATCTGAGAGGTTTGGAGCTTTGTCTAGTTTTGAGAATATCATCATTTTCTCCAAAGACTTTAAAAAAAAACAAAAAAAAAAAAAAAAAAAAAAAAAACAAGCAACCCTCAGCACCAGGGTACACAGATGGCTCAGCTGTCAAGAACACCTGTTGCTCTTCCAGAGGACCCAGCACAGTTGCCAGCTGTGTTGAACGCATTGTTGGAAGCATAGGAATACCGGAAATGTGTCTAAGCTACATTAAGGAAAAGAAATTAAACAGCATTTCCTCCTGGGGCTGGAGAAATGGCTCAGTGGCTACACATGCTGCTCTTCCAGAGGAGACCTGGATTCAATTCCCAGCACCCACATGGCTGCTCACAACTGTCTATAACTCCAGTTCCAGGGGATCTGACACCTTCACACAGACAAATGTGCACATAAAGTGCATATTAAAAAAAAAAAAAGCATTTCCCCTTGATGGAATTTAACTAAGAGTAGGGCCCAGATTTGAATTCTCTACCTTTCTCCCTGTGTCTCAGTTGTTCCCTGTCTCCCTCTTTGAACATAGAAGTCTGAACCTGTGCCTTCCTGAAGGCTCTGTGTGTGTGTGTGTGTTTGTCCTCATCAAAGGGCTTTT